TGGAGTGGCGGGGGATGTGCTCTTGAGATGGAGGACATGTATTTATTATACTAGAAGCACCTTGTAGTCTTACTACAATTCTTAGTACCAGTAGTAACAGTAGGGACCAGGGACTAGTCGGATCGGATGGGGGTCCTTTTTCTAGTACAAAGTGCCTGTGCAAAACATTTTTTTTACAGGTTCAAGTTATTTTTATTTTGTACGAGCAAAGAACGAGAGGCTGTGATTGGAGTAGCCAGAAAGAGTCAAGGACTTTTAGCTTGAGTTCACCTTTGGGGTGCTAGTATGTATGTATTCCTTTTTTAGAAATTGAGGAGCCGTTATCCAGCACCCAGCGATACCAGCCTCAATACCAGCATCATCCGATGCCAGCCTTGTATTCTTCCTTTGTTTTCTTTTTTCTTTCTCCCCTGTCGATTGTAATTATTGTGAGAAATATTACCATCATAATCTGCATTATCCTCCCTCTTATTAGTTCATCAGCATGGGATGACACGCTGGGATGAAAAAGAAAACCGAGGGGTGGGCGTATTGCAATACGATAAAAAATACCGGCAGTCGGGCAAAAGTCCGACCGGCCGACCGGTATCAGGCTTAGCGTCGGAGGTGGCATCAAAAGAGAAAAAAATATGTGCCTGCACTGCCTCTGTTTTCTCGCTCTGTTTTTATTTTTTGTCAGGCCCACATGACCTCCAGTCTCCGAGAACCAATCAGTATCCCATCTGCGCTAGACTCAAAACCCCCGGTCCGGTGCACCCTGGTTTGTCGTCCCACTCAGTCTCGTAGAGTGGGAGGTGTCTGCTTGAGAAACTTTTGGAGTGTACGGAGTATACGGAAGAGTTACCACTAGCACCGGTCCTCCGTAAAGGGCTTGGAACCGAGGGTATTATGTACCTTCAAACTCCGTGGAGACGTCCACCACGTCCCATGCTGTGCTGTCAGACTGAAGTCATGATATCTTCCAATCGAGGAGTTCGATTGCCCCGGTGCTGCATGCAGTCCACTTAACAGAGTACTTATATGTACAGGTACAGAGTACTCTGTACTCTATTGTACATTCGATACTTTACACGAGTCATCCCCGATAACACCACTCATATTTCACCATCTTCTACTACACCACTTCGTACTGTTTTCTCAAGTCCGGAACCAATCATTTCACTGATCTGTGATAAGCGGGTGATCTCAGGAAGCTGTTAAACATAGCAACCGCCAGTAGTCTGCCTGACTCCGGCCTACCCTGATTACCCCTTCCAGCAATCGACTCGATGCTGCTCTCACGGACCAATGCAAGGGCCACGCACTATCATTGGCTCACAAGAGGGCTGAGTGGATTATTTCTCCTCCTCTCCACTTAATCGCACTAAATCCAATCGGGCATAGCTGAAGAAGAAGAATCCTCCGTATGTACCAGCCTCCCTCCAGCCAATCACCACCTTGCCTGTCTCCGGAAGATTGTTCGGAGTTCGAAGTATGCTATTTATACGAAAACCAGTGTCCGCTTTTGTTTTCTTGGGTCACACGAATGAGTTACAAATCGGAGTGGCAGGTTGAGTAAGAAAAAAGGAATGTAATATGACGGTGGCTGTCAGGCTCGTGTCTGAGGTGAGATGAGGCTTGACTCGGTACAGGGCTGGTTCGGGATATAATCGGTAGAGTAATCTGTACGATATCCGCATAACAGGTCTGCATTGCATCTGATGTTAGGCTGAGCATAGGGTTATCAGTGCAGTGGGCCGGGGATCACCACTGATCGGGATCAGCATCATTGTGCGATTTTGTGGGAGCTCTGTAAGGCGGCAGTATTTCACCGCTTTCTATCTACACGATGAGATTGTCATGTCACTTCCACTACTATTCTTCTGCCCATTCTGTACGGAATACTGTTTTATCTAGATATTCCCTCTTTTCCATTATCTGCCAGGGACAGGAGTAATTTCGGCAACCACCAGGCCCCCTGGTGTCAAATACAATAAGGCATCACTATTTCTCTCAAAAGGGGTCGAACATCCTGGCTTCGACGACGAGTTATTTTAGCACTGTTATGCCATTCCGCGGTTTCAACCAGAGAGCCAGACATATTATGGGTAAACTACGGAATATAAAATCCTCGTCATGAATGCTAGATTAATCAGGATACCCCGTAACTACACATGAAGCGGCGGGAGTACGGAGATTTGTAAGAACACAACTCGTAACTAGTTACAGAGTACGGATATACTCTATCCCATTCTATCTAGATAAAAAGCTATGCTATTTCCATGTTCATCTATTCCTAACACACCCATAACAACCTGCCCCGCGGGTACCGTGTTTTTAAACCCCCGACGAAATCCCGGGACCCTTTCTGCATCAAACTTTAGTTCGCCCCTTCGGGCTTCCCCATGCGGTCTTTTTTGCCGTTACAGATTACAGCCTCAGTCCACCAAAAGAAAAGAGAGGGGAAAAAAAGTAAAAAATGAAAAGATACAACTTTACGGCGCTTGTTATGCATGTAATTTATTTAACCTCAACATTCGGGTAAATGCCGTCCATGGCGCATGTGTATAAAAATAACCCGTGAAAAATAAACGAGCAAACCACCCTAAGAACTCAACCGAGGAACGGTTCACCGCGATAACAGAGTTTACTTTTTGACACCACTGAGAGTATCGGCTCCATTGACGTCAATGTTTACCGTTATTCTGTGGTCTCATTTTCATACCCGATTTCGCAAGGGACGGAGAAGAACTGCAGTACAGAATCGTCAACTACCCCCAGTGCACGACATAGTCCTCCTTACAGCTCGGAACTAAGAAACGCACAAGGCTACAGATACTCAATAAAATACTTTGCATAATGCTACTGCGGGCGTACTTGTATCAGTGCGTACTAAGGAAAATAAACCCAAATAAGCCCATCGAACCGCACATGTTTCACCTCCCCCCAATCACCACCCTCCCCTCACCACTGATCTACCAGATCATCGCAGCACCGGTCTGGCGCCCACCTTACAGTACGCAAGTCCATAAGCAGAGTTCCCTAATAGTCCTACTCTGTATGCACTATACAATCTGTAGGACGCTGGTTGGTCCTTGCATCCCGGTGGGATGAAACAAGCCAGAAGCCTACTCTAGTAGTAGAGGGGTTTTTATTGGCCGGTTAATGATGTGCTCAAAATTAGGGTTGGTTCTTTCTTTTTTTCGGTAAGCTGTCAGGGTTTTCAGCTTCCCGTTAATACGGAAGTCGATTCTCCCCTTTTGTTAGTTTAGGTTTGGAGCTATGGGTGATAGTTGGCGTGTTTTGGTGCGGTGCGGTGTGTACTACGTAGGCTAAGGGGACGGGGACGGGGACGGGGACTGGGTTATTCTACTTTAGGTAAATGGAATGAGAACTCAATGCCAATCGCCCATATTCATAACAGACCACATGGTACTGTGGCGTAGCCGGTCGGACCAGCTGTTGATCAGCCCTCTAAATACTTAGTCGAGGCTACCAGAGTACTCCGGAGTACGCCGTATACCAATGTGCAAATGTACATTTATTCCAAATTTCATGCCTAAGCTTAACCCAAATCACAAAGCGCCCCGTACTCCGTACTTTTCGCCATGCGAATCCTTCTACTAGTAGAATAAAATAAAATAAAAAATAAACTACCCATAAGGATTGTTAGCGTTCCCACACTCAGCTCGCCATGGTCAGATTGATAAGTGAAATAACGTCTAAAATAACGTCTTTTTGATCCATACCCTTTAAAAAAAACGTTAGGCTACTGCAATTTTATTTCTTCAGCTCGTGCTAGCACATATGATAGCTTGGCGTTGACATATCACACCCTTAGTCGTCTATAGTAAAGCACACACCACACGGGAGTACTCCGTACAGCCTTACTCTCGGGAGTACACCACAGAACAAAAAAAAAAAAAAAAACACAAAGCATAGGAATTCGGAATTATCGAATTTTTTCCTTGAAAATGGTATCTCAATTCCGACTTTCCATTCGGACAATAAATTCTTCTGGTAAAGTGCAGTGGGAGCGTGCTGTACAGCCTACCGGTGTGGCTAAGCAAGCGTGCACGGGTGCCGAACCCTAACCGCCGACTCCAGTCTGCAGTCGATTATATACCCGAGTTTTGGCATATAGCATTGTTTTACATAGTAATATACTTTCTTTGAAGAGAGTATCAAACCTCCTAGAAAATCATAGAAGCTCAAAAGGACCTCGTGTCGTGCCATAATACCCACTCTTACTGAATCCCCTAACCGCTGTACACAATCCACTCGAGACCACCAACACTACTCTCAACATCAATCCAACAATCAACAATCAAATCAATATACAATGCCCATCAATACCCAGAACAGCAGCACCCTATCCCAAACAAACAAACTCTTCACATAACTAACTATGTAGCTAATGTTAGCTAAGCTAAGCCCCCCAGAGTGGAACCATAACATGACATCATTGGTCAACAAGCGCGTGGCGGAGCTCTGCCCTAAAGGTCAGGGTCCCGTGATAACGTGCCGTCAGAAACGTAGCCAGTCATCTCACATAAATGCTGATGCTACCTGGCTAGTGCAAGCTATGTCATGCCTATGCCTTGTAGGGTAAGAGGGCTGCTGCCGGTTTGTCGCCCGGGACCGCCGAAATTCTACGCACTTGCACCGATGTGGTAGCCTTCCGAGTATTCCGTACTTACGGTCCCCTTGTACCCCCTGTACGCGAGAGAATTATGGAGTACTCTTGCCCTGTATGTGCCCGTGCGGAGGGCTTATGGCTGGCTGAACTGGATCCAGGGTTGACCTGAATGGGTAATTGTGACGATTAGGGGCTCACCGATATACAACGTTTTGTATAGCTTCAACGGTCATCTTTGAGTATCTAGAATCTGTAAGACCATCTCAATTGTTTGGCAACTCTCTATGATTAGTACTGGCTGTGAGTTACTCCTGGAGAAGAATTGCAGCACGAAGTGCACTTGCCAGATGGCAGGATCTTCAGGAAGAACGGAACACATTCATTCACCATATGCAAATAGTGCAAATACTCCATAGCCAAAGACAGAGCGAGTGACAAGTGATAGAATGAGACAAAAATGAGACATCAAAAGATTGCAGCACTTTCCTCGACCGTCCGTCTGTAGCACAATGGAAATAACTGTCCCCAAAACTCGTACGCACCAGGATTCTCCCCCTTCTCCGCGACCAACCACCGAGCAAACACACACTCCGTCTGAAAGGGATCCTCGCTTCGAAACTCGACAACCTTGGCCAGCATGATCAGCTTAATGAAAACTTGATGAGAAGGTGATGTTAAGTGATATGCTTACCTCCCAGTACTTCTGTAACGCACCGTGATACCTCGCTGACAGTCCAAATTTCCTCCGCAGCCTCTCCCTGTGAATCCTCTTGGCCGCAGTCCTATACACCCTCGTCAACGTCTCATAATCCAACAATTCGATCTCCTCGACCGCGTATCCCCCCGGTAGCATTCGATGCAGCCGCGCGTACACAATTTCGATGAGAAGGGTGAGGATATCCGCCTGCCATGTTGTGAGAAAGTCGTGCTGCATGGTGCTCATGTGTCGTTGGAGCTTCATGAGATCGAGGTTAAGACGGATCGTGCTCGCGCGTAACTTGGACATCTTCTTCTCGAGGATCTGATTGCTGCTGCTGAGTGCCTGTAGAGCTGCAGAGTATTTCTGAGCGATGTTAGTAGCCGGTCGCTTTGCTTGGTCGCTCTCAGAACTTGAACACGGGTGTCAACAGACCTCGACTGACGATTTCTTGTCATCCTCTGCATTTGTGGTGCTTCTTTCGGTCTTCGAGAGGTAGAAGGACATGCCTGGTCCGTACAGTTTGACGATATCGGCCACCATAGTGGTGATGGATACAATATTGGATAGATGTGGTAATCGACTAGATTGTTCAATAATGATTTGCTCATGGAATAAAGCTGCAATGCGATTAAGGATGCAATGCTGTGGAGAAGAAACGATGATGGATTGCAGAAGAATTGTTGCGTACAGTCATGACAAGGAAATGGCACCCTTGGTAACACCGATAGAAGGAAGGAGCGACCACCCAGCCCTCCAATCAGCAGAAATGTACATTCTATTAAGAACCAGTGCTCTAGGTAACCAGCTAATACTACCAAAGGATTACAGCTTACTGTCCGAACCAGACTTTCCAAACTCAACCACCAACTTTCCAAACTGCTTGCCCTGTTTCATATCCTCGAACAACGAGTCAAGAGCCGCGATATCATCCAGCTCACTTTGCTGCACACGCGAGACAACGGGATAGATCTTGTTAGCTTTGACGAACTCGATCATCTCCGTGAATTCTTTACGAGAGCCCATAGTCGAGCCACGGACGTCAATGTTCTTCAGGACGGCCTGCATCAAGAACGGCATCTTGGGAGAGACTGTCATCCCGTAGATGGAGATGACACCACCAGCCTAATAATCATCAGCGCATATTCAAGAATATACTGGCATTGACTTACCTTGAGCATTTTGGCGCCCTTCTCGACCGCATCGCCTCCAGCACCGTCGATGATGGCATCGAAAGAAGTCTTGCCAGCAGGAAGCATACCCAAAAGCTTCTTCTCCCATGCTTCCTCCTTATAGCTCACACCTCCTTTGGCTCCCAACTCAACCGCCTTCTGGATCTTCTCCTCGCTCGAGCTCGTCACATAAACATCGGCCCCACGGGCCACGGCAAAACGAAGCACCATCAACGCCACACCACCACCGATTCCAGTAATCAACACCGCAGCGCCCTTACCCGAGTTCCTCTCCCCAGCCTTGCTCACGAGCGCTCTCCATCCAGTCAACCCCGTCAATGGCAGCGCAGCCGCCTCCGCATCCGACAAATGCTCCGGCGCTTCTTCAAGCTCCGACTCCTCAATAACAACATAATCCTGCATCGTCCCGTTGCGATACGTCTTGGTCCCTCCCAGAATTTTATATCCCTGCGGATCCTCAGGACCATCGGGGGAATCCTTCCATCCCGTCCCCGGGTTCAAAATGACCCGCTTCCCTTGCCATTGACTGGGGTTCGACACCTCCGGGCCTGTCGCGACCACGGTTCCCACACCGTCTGCGCCCAGAGGGACGTCGAAGGTTATACCTGGATAAAGATGTTGGCGGAGGAAGACGTCGCGGTGGTTTAGTGATGCGGCGGTCATCTTCACAAGGACCTCCCGACCCTGCGGGGTTGGTTTGGGGAGGTTTTGGAGAGAGAGGGGGTAGTAAACTTGGCCCGGCTTGCCGGGCTTACCATCAATGGTGGAGAGGAAGATTGCTTTGGACATTTTGCTTTGTGTTATCTGTTCAATTGATTGATTTGTCGTGTACGGAGGCCGAATTGCGACTGTCGACGTGTGCGGGGTCGTTGGTGTTCGTGTTGGATAATAGAACGGAGAGTATCGATTGATCAATTGCAATGAAAAGTTATTAATAACAATTGATATCATATATGAATATAATAAGCAATTGATTTGAGCGAGCAAAAAGAAAAAGACGTTGGAGGTGAGATTGCGGGGATATATAAACATCATCCGCATCAACCTCGGTACTTCAAAGACGACATTTATAATCAGGTTATCAGCTGCTACGATACTCAAAGAAAACGAGAAGTCAATTTAATCATTGCAAGATGACATTCTTTCACACTTTTTACCTAACTCAAAGCAAAACAAACCAATCCTCTCACATCCCATAACAAAGAAAACTAACACCTCTTCCGAAAAGCCGGATGATCACGATACCACCAAGCCGGACCACAGCACTCACACGCATCCTCACAATTCCCATGCACAGACTCCGAACACTCTGACGAAATGGTAGCAGTGTCAGAACCGTCTTCGCAGGGCTCCTCAAAGTGTGCACGAGCCTTCGTACGGGGGTAGTGCGGGTAGTGCGGATAGTAGTTGCTGGGATGGTACTGGTGGCAAGTGTCTGCGTCGGTTTTACGGCTCATCTTGGGTCGGGCTTGAGATGGTGGTGGGCAATCTGGGCATTGGTGCTTGGTTGTATGAGCAGCGGGTGCAGGTGTAGGCACAGGCGCGGGCGGATAGTAGTAGTTCTGGCATGACGCGGAGGTGCAAGATGGTTCTGAAATATACGGAGACTGCGACGGACAGTCGTAGCCGGGGTAGCGGAAATACGCATGTGCGTGGTAATGGATGGTCGAGGGGGTGCTGCTTGCTGTCGATGTAGAGGATGACGACGATGAAGAACAATCTGACGGCTGGGCGCAGGTCGAGGTTGCCGAAGTAGCAGTAGTATGCTCGTTATCGCAACACACAGAGCAGCAACAAGTGTCTGTTTCTACCTCCTCTGCGCTATCGCAGCACGTCTCGGAGGAACAGCAGTCAGTCTCCACGTGTTGATGATCGGGGCATTCGTGGGCTTTCGACGTCGATGTCGAGCAGGAATGGACCGCTTCGGCAGCCGAGTGACTGGGGCAGCAGCTTGCAAGTGTACTGGAAGAATAGGGAGCTGGACCGGTGTAGACTGGTCTGATTTGGTTTCCTCGGAGGGGTCTGCCTTCCCAGTACCAGGCAAAGGGGATGGATTTCTCGCGTCTCATTTTGGTGGGCGTTCCGGAGCGCTTCTCGGTGCTTGAAGTGAAGGAAAGGGACAAAAACAGAGATAGTAAGTTGGTCGTGTATAAGCTGAGGGGGATAGAGCTGGTAGATATAGCCATGATGGAGGGATGTCCAGAGCCTGATGTCTGGATCATTGTAGTACGATGAGTGCTGAATGGGTATATAATACAAGTAGCAGCATTTCAGGCGCATACAATCAGCTTTCTTAGACATACAGAAAGCCTTCTTTGACGTCTACATACAGGATGTCTACATATATCCAAACGAACTATAGACTGACCAATGACAACAGCAGAAAATAAATGACTAAGCAATGCAGGGGCCACATCCATATAAAAACGAGTTTAATTTTGCTGCTTTTGTGAATTTTCAACAAAGACGGTGATGAGCTTTATCTTTACCTCATTCTGATACCAGGGCATATAAAACACCAATCATGGTTGTTTTGTGTCCTGGAAACTGAGGAGACAGATTATCTGAGTCTTGTTTGCAATTCTACGGCAGTAAAACCTGTGCCCTGGATACTGGCTGGGCATATGGACATTGGATAATGTCCCCGGCCTGGATGCAGGAAAACAGCCAACGGAAAGGAAGAAACAAAGACAGGCAGAGAGACAGAAAGACAGATCTCACTCAGTGATTTATTCACAAACGGAGACTTTTTGCTTCTTTTGTCTTCGTTGCCCGGCTGCCAACGCGACACGTATGTAACGGGATACAAATACACCACACAGTACAGAGTAATAGAGCATATAAGGAAAGACTGTAGCTTCGCCAACAAATTGATATGTCTATTCTCGAGCTACACTAGCAGATAAAGTTCCGTCATAATGGCCAGAAGAATAAGTATCAATTCATTGTGCGCGTGAGCGTATCATCATGTATCAGTGGCCGGTAATACCATAACATAACGAGCTGCAAACGGGAACAAGTGGCCCTTCGTTGTTGTATTATATCGTAACTGACCGTATGAATACTGCCATACCCCACCGCCTGCCAATTGTGGCCAATTTTCTCATCAAGCAAACTTCAAGTCGTCGCCCAAAACGAACCTTCGATCGCTTCTTTTACTCCTGATCGAATGAGTATTGCTTCTTTCGAATCCTAGCTGAAATAAGTCACTCCTGGACGTTGTTTTGGTTGTTTTAACCCAACTCCCAACCTCCATATTCGCGTTTTTTTTTTCCATCGCCGTAATTTTCCCATCTTTCCGGTGTCGGTTGTTCCCACATCCAAATCTCCTACGCAACCCTCTCTCTGACACCCACCACCTCCAATAACCACACCACCAACCAAACTCATACCAACCTCCCAACGCAACGCCACGCTTTGCGCAACTCGACCCTTTCTACACTCCCTTTTAATTCTTCAGGACGAGCTTGTCGGTGACCTGGCAGCTTTCTGTGTATTTTTACCAGCTCCCTTGTTATCACAATGCCCACGCCACTCCCTTCGAGTTTTGCTTCCGCCGCTGCTGGCAACGTCCACGACCCTAACAAACGAGGCGATGGAACTGCTGCTAGTGAATGGTACGCCTTATTCTGTCTTCCTTGCTCTGCTTTTGTGGTTGCTATAATCCTTTTTTGCATTTTTGTGCTGCATTGGCCGTTTCAAGTTGTGCTGGTTTATGCGGATTTTCTGCTGCATTGCTGCATGGTCTTGACCGAACTTTTTTTACATTCTTGTCCTCTTCGGGAAACTTGTTTCTGCTTGATACTTACATGCTGTGTTATTTCTATAGGTCTCGGACTCGCATGAATGGAGCAACACAAACTTTCCGCCGTCCTTCAGTTGCTACAAACCCTTCTCATAACCGGGATACCAGCCAAACCACCACTTCCGCTTCGACCCCAACTGTTGGTGCTTACGTTCCTCCACACATGTCGTCGAATCCACAATCCAGTGGGCTACGCAATGGGATGGCCACTGGCGAGGCTCGCTACTCCAAAGAACAACTTCTCGACCTCTACAAATCCCAGCGAGAATCCGGTTCTTTGGCAAAGAATGTGACAGACTATTTCGTGGCCGACTGGGATCCCCATGTAGAGACACCCAGTGTGAACGGGGCCTGGGGAAAACGGGAGGACCAGAAAGACCCTCCGAACGGGCCCGAGGTATGTTGGGATCATGGTGGACAGATCGAACCGTTGGCATTAATGAATATGACGGATGAGGAGAAAGAGGTTTGTATTTCAGAAGCCGCACTTGGTTCTAGAGTGCGAGAGCATCGTGCTGACATTGCTAGTTATTCTCCGCGTCGGTCAATTCTCCCTTGAAGCCTCCGCCGTCGAACGCCCAGAAAGATAACCAGGCTGCCGGTACGGGTGGACGCAAATCGTCTGTCTCCTACACCCAGAACTTCAACACCTCTTCTCCGGGTTCTGCTCGGCCAGGTCCTAGGCGAAGGGAGACCGGTGATTCTGTCGGTAATCCGATGTCCCCCACGCCTGGTGGTTCGCGCTTTCTCCGTGACGAGACCAACACCTCGACCCCGCCGCCCTCACTTCTACGCCGGAAAACCGATTTTCGAGAAAATAGTTCCAGGTTGGATGAAAGGGACAGCAAGGAAGGCGAGTCTGCCTCTCCTTTCAACTCGCTGAAGCGCAGTTCCACCAATCCTTTGAGTGCGGGGCTGAGTGGACCAAGCTCCCCGTGGGCGTCTGCATCACAGAGTGCCAACTTCTCCCCCATGGGAGCGTTTGGTGCTTTCTCGTTGGGCCCAACGCAATCAGCTCAGACCCCCACCACCGAGAAGAAAGGATTTGGTAGTCTGCGCGGTGAGAGTCGTTTGAAGGGCCTCTTCTCCAAGGACAGTTCGGAAGACATTGGTGCGTCTGTTAGAGAGAAACCGTCACTCAGCAGCTTGGAACGTCTGCCGGAAACCGAGGGCGACAACGGTGCGCAGTCGCCTTGGGGGGAGGCCGTCAGGACTCGCGCCGGCCGAAGCGAGACGAATCCATTCTCCGATGAGCCTCGCAGTGGAAGTGCAGCGTTGGGTGGATCGCAGGATCTGGAACCGGCCTCACAGGCTGATTCGTTGGGCTTTTCGGCTTTCGGAATGACCTCAAGCATCCCCGGTTTTCGAGAACTGATGCAGAGCCACGAGAACTCCCGTAACCCGACTCCCAGTCTTTTGCAAGGCCACGAACCGAGCAGCCCGACCAATACGAACCCGTACCAGAGTCCCCACGGCGATCGTCGAGGAGACGTGGAGGATGTTGAGACGGATGAATCTGATATCCAGGCTTCTCAGCACCCTGGCATCAGTGGATTTCGTGATGCGTCGAATCCGTTTGGCTCCATTCGTCGAGTTGGTTCGGGAATCGACCTGCCTTCGATTGACCGCAGCCAGACGTCCAGTGTGGCGGGTAACCGAAACTTCTCTAACCTAGGTGGCCTGGGTGGTCTTCCTACTCTGGGAGGCGCTACCTCCGGATGGCCTCCTAACCCGGCAGTTGGGACACCTACCAGGGAGCGGTCTGCCTTTTCAAGCGGCTTTGGTGACCCTATCTTCGGTTCGATGGGCGGTGAGCTTCAATCCCCAAGTCTGTCGACCTTGGGAGGCAGTGGTCTCTTTAGCCCGCACGCTGGAATCTCCGGTACAGGCAGTCTAGGCCGCTCCAGCAAGCTGGGATCTTTGTTCCCTGCGGCGATGCAGGAGCAAATGCAGGGTGACCAGGGAGAGGATGGTCAGCAAGCCGATAAGGCCGGTCAAACCAACATGCCCACAAGCACCTCGGCTTCCCAGACCCCGGTCTCTGCTGTTGGCTCGATTCCGATGGCATCTCAAGAAGTGCCTCAGCCAAGCCAGTCGGCCAGCAACCCCGGCTCGGTTCCTCCGGCTCAGCAGCGGACTATGGTCATGCCCGATCGTATGCGGTGGATTTACCGTGACCCGCAGGGCAACATTCAGGGTCCTTGGACCGGTCTGGAGATGCACGACTGGTTCAAGGCTGGCTTCTTCAGCCCCGACTTGCAGATCAAGAAGCTTGAAGACCCAGAATTTGAGCCGTTGGCGCAGCTGGTGCGTCGCATTGGGAACTCGCGCGAACCGTTCCTGGTGCCCCAGATTGGCATTCCCCACGGGCCCGACCCCAACGCTACGCCGTGGGCCGCCCCGACCGGCACTGCCCAACCACCTTTTCCTGGCAGTTTCCCAAGCTTTGGCACTACCTTGACCGCTGAGCAGCAGAATGCTTTGGAACGCAGGAAGCAGGAAGAGCAGTATCTGATGGCCCGACAGAAGGAGCATCTCGCGCAGCAGCAGGCCTTAATGAAACAGATGCAGCTGCAAGGCCTCCCACCTGGCGTACCTCAGCCACTTCAACATCACTCGAGTGCTCACAGCCTTCACAGCCAGCCGAGTCTCGGAAGTCTCACTTCGCCGGTCGGCTTTCAGCCGTCGCCTATCCAGGCTCCTCTGCAGCAACAGCCTCAGAATGCCCCCGGGTTCTTTGGGAATATCCTGCCCAACCTTGGCCCGCAAATTCTTGGCACTGACTTGGTCAGCAACCAGGAGCAGCTCCCGGCTCTCCTGGACCGGTTGAACGTGAGCCGTCCTGATCCGTTTGCGTTTGGAAGCCCAGCATTCGCCGCACGCCAGCCAGAGAACTTGTTGCACCAGCAGCAAGTTGCAAGCATGCTTCAAGACCGGGCCCAGTTGCAGCAGGAACAGGAGCAATTTGACAATGCGCAGGGTGACAGCTTGTTCGACCAGCAGGCTCGCGAAGAGCGACTCCGCCAGTTCCATGCTTTGAGATCGCAGGAGGGTGGATGGACTGCGGAAGGCCTTCCCACGCACCCCACCACTCAGCAGAACGAGTCTGAGCAGGAGGAGCCCTCGGAGGAAGTTGCTCCCGAGGCCAGTGAGGCTACAACTACGACTACTACTACCACGACTACCACAACTAGCCAGGAGCCTCTGACGCTTTCTCAGCAGGTTCAGAAGGCTGCGTCTGCCCAGAAACAACAGTTTGAGGAAGAGCAGAAGATGCAGGAAGAGGAAGAGCAGAGCCAGTATGAGCAGGAAGAACAGCAGGCTCCTCGCGAATCCGTATGGAACAAGAATGACAACGGCTTGCCTCGTCCATTCCCTCCCCCTCCATCTGCCTCGCCTCTCCCGGCCCCTGCTGCTCAGCGTAACCGCCAGAATGTTGCCGAGTCTCTCGCTGCCAACTCGCGTTCTCAGACCCAGACCCCCGTTGAGCCTCCGACTACTTCCATTGCGCCATGGGCTAAGGATGCCAACGAGTTGCCCAAGGGTCCTTCTCTGAAGGAGATTCAGGAGGCCGAGGCTCGCAGCGCTGCCCAGAAAGAAGAGATGGCCGCTGCCGCTCGTCGCTCTCAACTGCTCGCGGAGCAAGAACGTATTAGCCAGGCGGCCCAGACTCAGAGCCCCGGCTTGCCGTCGACTGCCAACTGGGCCAGTGCCGGATCCCCTGCAACCCCGACGTCGGCTACTTCTGTGTGGAACAACAAGGGCCAGACTGCTCCTACTGGTGCCAAGAAGACTCTCGCTCAGATCCAGAAGGAAGAGGAAACCCGTAAGCAGCGCATGGCCAACGCTGCCGCTACCGCTGCCGCTACCGCTGCCGCGCAGACTGCAGCTGCCAGTCCTCCCGCTGCGGCCAGTGTTGGAAAGAGATATGCCGATCTCGCCAGCAAAACCCCGGCTCCTGTTCAGACGGCCCCCTCGGGCACTAGTGCATGGACCACGGTCGGTGCTGGTGGCAAGGTCAAGGCACCACCTACCCCGGTGGCCCCTGCCGCGCCCAGTCCTGTGGCGGCGAAGCCCAAGCCAGCTGTCGTACCGTCTCCTCGGGCCATTAGCGTGAACACTGCTCCTACTATATCTCCTCCGAACCCGAACCGTGCTTTGGAGGAATTCACCAAGTGGGCCAAATTGACTCTGGGCAAGGGACTGAACAGCAACATCAATGGTAGGTTTTCCTTCTCGCCTCTATCCGGTCATTCCTTATGCTAACGATTTTAGTCGACGACTTTGTTCAGCAATTGCTGTTCTTGCCCGCTGAGGCAGAGATTATCTCGGACTCGGTTTACGCCAATTCTCCTACTCTGGACGGCCGTCGTTTCGCCGAAGAATTCATCCGTCGTCGTAAGCTTGCGGACAAGGGTATAGTCGACCCCGTGTCGGCCAGTGCCTACGCGGACCAGAAGAACGGTGGTGGCTGGAGCGAGGTGGCTAAGAAGGGATCATCGTCGTCATCCTCGCACGCGAACAAGGAAGAGGAGAGCGCTAGCGCGGCGTTTAAGGTGGTTGCTCCTCGCAAGAAGGGCAAGAGGTAAATAGTGCCATGACAGTATTGTACAGAAGTCATGTCGGATAGATCTGTGAATATCGTGATATCTTACTTGAGCTAGTGTCAACATAGTTGTACTTAGTCATGTCATTTGTCAATGTAGTCTGTATACATTCTAGTAGTTCTCTGTATAAGTGCTCCGGACTCCGTATACATGAGGCTCAATGGGTGAAGACCCCCAGAACTCTACACCGAGTGTTTCTCCGCCCCGCCTGCAGCCGATCGGTACCTGTGATCGTCTCTATCTTCAATGTCTATTGTTATTGCAACTTCTACTACGATTTCCAGTTATCTACGTCCATTGAGGACAATTCGATACAGCAAACATGTCCTCTCCAACTCCCTTCGGAGCCCCCATGCTCAAACACTTCTCCTTCTTCCCCAACTTCAAAAACCTCAACCACGGCATGCCCTCCCATCTCCCCAGGTCATATATCAGTTTAACTAACAATATACAAACAGGCTCCTTCGGCACCCATCCCCTTTCCGTCCAATACGCCCTGCACAATCTCCAATCCGAAGCCGAATCCCGTCCAGACCCCTTCATCCGCCGCACCACACCGCAAGCTCTTGATTTATCGCGACAAGAAATCGCTTCCCTGCTCCATGTTCCTAAAAATGAGGTTGTGTTGGTGAAGAATGCGACAACAGGCGTGCATACTGTCCTACATAACCTGGGTTTCAAGAAGGGAGATGTGGTTTTGTACTTCGATACGGTGTACGGGGCTGTGGAGCGGATGTTGTTCTCGACCGTTGAGATGACGGGCGTGGCATTGAAGAAGGTGGAGTACCGATTGCCATTACATCCAGAGGAATTGGTTGCGAAGTTTATGGATGCTGTACGCGCAGCAAGGGAAGAAGGACTGAACGTCCGCGCCACGGTCTTCGAGACCATCGTCAGCATGCCCGGCGTCCGTTTCCCGTTCGAGCGTTTGGTCGAAGTATGTCGCGCGGAGGGCATTTTGAGTCTGATTGACGGGGCACACGGCATCGGCCACATCCCGTTAGATCTCGGATCATTGCAGCCGGATTTCTTCACCAGCAACTGCCACAAATGGCTCTACACCCCGCGCGGCTGCGCGGTCCTCTACGTTCCCCTCCGTCACCAACATCTCATCCGTACGACTCTTCCAACGTCCTGGGGGTATATCCCCGCCCCTGATTCAGCGAGCACTATCGGTGCATCGACGATGCAAACGGCTGGCGGTGGAAAGTCGGCGTTTGAGAGTTTGTTTGAGTTCGTGGCTACGACTGATGATACGCCGTACCTGTGTATCCCGGCAGCCATGAAATTCCGCAGAGAAACCTGCGGCGGGGATGAGCGCATCTTCGCATACTTGGAAGAACTATCCAATGAAGCCGCTGATATCGTTGCGGGTGAGCTGGGAACGGAAGTCATGCAAGAGCCCGGGATACAGCATTGGAGGGAATCTTTGCTGCGGAAATGTGCGATGACTACTATCCGGTTGCCGATTCCTACTCAGGATGGTACGGATCTTTCGCCTGATGCTGGGAAGAAAAGGGTTTGTATGCCCTTGGCCGCGGATGAAGTGCAGGGTGTTTGTCGGTGGATGCAGGATACGTTGGTTGATGAGTATGACACATTTCTACCTGTGTTCCCGCATGGAGGGTGGCTCTGGACAAGGTTGAGCGCGCAGGTTTACCTGGAAAAGAGTGATTTCGAATGGGTGGCTCCTATTCTGGGGGAGTTGTGTGAACAGGTTGGCAAGAAATACCAACCCGAAGCCAAGCTATAGACATATATACCCCATGCTATAAAATATACAATCTAAGAATGATGATAGACTTTTCTCCCTCCAAAATACGTCTCATGCACAACCGCCTCCAACAACTTCTCCTTCTCCCATTGCATATCCCAAACCACAAAGTCCGCCTTCTTCCCTTCCCCCAAGGTCCCAATGAACCCGTCCGCAAACGTCGAGTACGCACTCCCCGCCGTCCCCGCAGAAACTGCTTCTCCCAACTCCAGCGCAAAATGCTCGTTTACTTTGGTTTCAAATTCTGGCTCTCTTGCTGACCGTCGCGTAGTTGCAGTGTACAGATTCTTGAGCGGCCAATGCGGTGCTGTTGGTGAATCTGTCCCGATCGCCAACGGCGCATGATGGTCCAGGAATTCTTTGTATGCGAAGGCACGATGTAACCTGGTTGGACCAAGCAAGGCAGGCCATGCACGGAGGATCGCAGGGTCCGCATGCACAGGCTGCACAGACGCTGTGATTCCCAAATCACCCAACCTCTTCGCGTCCTCTGGCGCCGTGAGCTCGAGATGCTCGATGCGATGACGGCGGCCTGGCGTACCAACAGCCTCCAGTATATCGATGGCGAGTTTCACAGTTGCATCACCGATAGCATGCAGTGCGCACTGCAGACCAGCGACATCGGCCTTCTGAACTACTTTCCGGAGAGCATCCGGAGCCCAAATCGTTCCTGCATTAGCACCGTTCGTGGAGTACGGCTCGAGTAAAGACGCAGTGCACGCATCGACAACACCATCGCAAATCAGTTTTATACCAGCGATACGGAAATCAGGCGACGTGCTGCTGTTATACTGCTTATGCAATTCAATCGCCCTATCCACCTGCGCCAGATTCTCCTCATCCGTTTTGCACGGCGTGATAATCCAATACGCAGCCATACGAATCGACACATCCCCTTGTTCGCGAAGAACACGCATAGCCTCCCAAATGGTCTCATCCGTCGCCATCTCCGTTATCCCCGTATACCCCGCTGCATTATACGCCTTCACCGCATCGCGGATATACCCTATGCGCTCATCAACAGTCGCAACACGGGCTACATGCGGCCACGCAATATTCACATTCGCAGCCTCGCTCAACAACCCATTCGGCTTCCCTGTCTCGGGGTCACGACTTATCTCCCCGCCCTCAGGATCAGGCGTGTTCTCATCAACGCCCAATTCCTTCAGCGCAGGTGTATTGCACCATGTCGAGTGCAGGTCCTTCGAGTCGATGAAGATTGGCCGTTGTTGCGGGTCGAGGTCATCGATCATGCCGGCTAGAGCGATCCCATTGGTCATGGGGTGCATCCAGCCGCGGCAGAAGAGGCGTTTTGCGGAGGGGTTTTGCTGCGCGGCTGTTTCGATGGTGGTGCGGATGTCTGTGAGGTTTTTGCAGGATTCGATGTCGATTTTGGAGAGGCTGGCGCCGAAGAAGAGGAGGTGCATGTGTCTGGTTATTCTGTTAGGTTGCTGTGGTGCAAAGGGGAGGGGGAGGGGAGGCGTACCCATCGATGAAGCCGGGGAGGATGATTTTTCCTTCTAGATTGACCTTTTGGGTTTCAGTGTCTTCCAGGGTCTTTGCGACGGAGGGCTTATCGGCATTGCCCACGTAGGCGACGAGATCGTTCTCGACGACTAGGTAGGTTGGGGGTGTCGACATGTCTTGCTGTCGATTGCCGGTGACGATGATCCCATTGTGGTAGATTGTCTTCATTTCGCTAGATTTGGTTTCTTGCAATGGTCTGAATTGAGGTCAATTGAAGTTGTCAATTGCGAAAGCAAAGAGTCGAGTGAGGAGTTGTAACAATGTGGGGTTTATCTTATCTCCATCTGATAATCCTCGGCATAACTGACAAAAATACCTCTTCGTAGAAGTAAAGAAAACGGCTGTCGTCAATCATAATACATACAGCATAACAATCTGGACATCAAGTCTATCAAGCAATAAATCACTGGGTGTTGCAATCATCCAACCCTGACAGAACCCTAACTTCCACCAAAATGGCTTCTCAACCACTCTGCAAGTCCTCCTCCACCAGGTTGTCCTTGTCCTTGTCCCTGTCCACTCGCACGTCGTCCTCCGCTGTCGTAAGCCGATGACCAGCGCCGTCCGCTTTGTCCGGGAATGGCACTGCTGGAACGGCGCGAGGCTTCGGGGCTGTCAACCGTCACTGGGTTCTCACGACTTCCTTCTCTGCACGGCATTAGTTTGTATTCCAAGTTTTAGGATGTAGAAAACAACTTACTGCGCAGGCGCATCAATGCTTCGTCGGCAATGAGGACATGTGTTGTGCTGGGTCAACCACATTTCAATGCAGTTGTAGTGGAACCAATGCTTGCACGGGAGTACGGTAACTTCCGTCCCCAACTCTACCGGATCCATACAAATCGAACACTCCGCCTTGCCATCGTTTCCCAGCATCTCCCGGTCAACAGGCTTCTTCGATAGATTCTGAATGGAGTTATGGGAGGCGGGCGGGGGCCCATTGCTGCTCGCATTCTGTCCAACCAATTGCGATATTACCCGGTCCAGCTCTTCCTGTGAGTAAACTGCATCACCGTGTCGGTCAAAGTTCAACAGACTCGATAGCATGGCCAATGGATTCGGTCCTGTCATGACACGAACACCACTTCTACCTCCAGACCTCTGTCCTCCTTGACCGAAGTCTTGCTGAAAGAGTTCGAGAATACTACCAGAGTTAGTGGATGATACATCAACATAAGCAAAAATAGGAAAAGCGACATACTCTCCCAACGTCCCCAACGGCGGCGCCATTGGCTGCGGACCATCTGCATTCCTCGGGAACAACCTCGGAGGACCAAAATCATCTGGCTCACCAGGTGCCCGCTCTTCAGGATCCGAGAAATCATCATGCTGAGGTAGCGCAGACGTAGCTCCTGCCTGTCTCGATGACTCCCGATCTAGACTCTGGCCCTGGCCTTGTCCCTGCTGGCGATAGGTATCCGCGAGTCCGTGGAAGATGGTATCCAACCGGCGCACCATAGGCATCAAGGGGTCACCGAATTCATCCGTCCCATATCCAGCTGAGCGCGGGGGACCACCAAAGCCACCACCGCTACTAAAGCCTCCGCTTCCGTTAAATGTCGTGCTCGAAAAGGCGAATCGGCCATCTGGCGATCTGTAGGCGCGGTGGGCAAACCCGGGACTCGACCCAAAGCCATGAGTGTCGTAGTCGTCTTCGTCGTCGTGCGTCCATGGGTTATGATTCGCAAAGGGGTTAACCGGAGGAAATGTTCTTTCTCGACGTGGTGAGGCTGGTGGTGGGGTAGCATGGCGGGGTGGTTCTTCGGTGTCTGGAGGGATTTCGATCTGGTTGAGTCATAGTTAGCTTGTATTCCTCCCGCGTGTTATTTGATACAGAAACGTACTATCTCAGTAAAGTCTGAATTGCAATGCTGGCACTGCAGGTCATCCTCAGAACGCCGGAGCCAGACCCCGCCACAATGATGGCAGAACATTCGATCTCCGTTCTCCATGGTGATGACTCAAGGATTCAGGTATGTTCAGATAAAGTAAGGTGGATAAAGAAGAAGAGCGTTTGAAGGTATCGCGATAATATCGAGGGAAGATGATAAGAGCATACAGCGCAAACAATCTCCGTAGACGCAGTCTTATTCGCAGAAGAGGATTGCGGTCATTGTCTCGGGACAACGCATCGAAGGGCCCAAACGAGGAGAAAAAGTAGTTAACTCATTCTGCTGACTGACAAATGCTCAGATAGAACAGAATAAAGAGTCACGGAGAGAACAGGGCGAGCTAAAATGAGGCGAGAGAAAGCGGAATCGGCTAACGACTCGGGCGCTGGTTGGATGACGTACCCACGATGCAGTCGGAGTACGGAGTATGTATGTACCAGAGAATTTTATACTATGAATGATTCACGTTCACTGTACTATCAATGTAGAAGTTGAATACAGAAGAAACCCCTAGGCATTGGTGTATTCACAACGCATGTCATGACTCATCAGGTAAACAAATTGGCAACCGGCAGTGAAGCGAAAGCGAAAGAAAGCAAAAAAAACGCCGGTCGAATATGCTGGACCAAATCCCGAACAAACAAAGCCACTGGTATATACAACACTTCCCTCTTTCCTATAGGGATTGAAGAGGTGGGAACAGTTTACCGTCTCTTAGCCCCCTTGAAAATCATACCCCCAACCACACCAGCAGCAAGGGCCAAACCACCCACAATCGCAATTCCAACCAAGCCCTCCCTCGACACCTTGTCATCGATGAGCTGCCCCAGGCTAGCTGCTTGCATGTTCGCCGGTTCCTTGTCCAGGAGCAAGTCGTTGTAGCGTCGGGCCTCGCCGTAGTTGCCAAGCTTGAAGTTTCCGAGAGCAAGGTAGTAGAGACATTCTCTACGACGTTCGGGAGCGGCGCGGAAGATTTCAGAGAGGAGACGGACGCCTTCTTGTTGGTCGTAGCGAGTGTTGGATTTGATTAGGCCCTGTGGTGGGGTAGAGATGGTCAGCATGCCATGTTATTGAGTAGGGAGTACATGTAGTAGTCGCCCATAGCACAGGTGAGACCAGGTGATGATTGTACCCAAGCATAGTTGAATTTGGTCTGAATTCCAACGTAGTCCCCTTCCTTCTCGTACTGTGTCCGCAAGACCTGGAGCTCCGCTGGCTTCAACGGGCTGAAGACAAGTTAGTTCACGAACCGGATTCGACGAAATTATGGTCGGTAGCGTCGACGGATGCAGTATACTGACCTTTCGGCATCAGCAGCATCTGCAAGGAATTCAAGTCAGCATGCAATCAACGCAGGAGCAACAATATGGAGCGGGCACATACATGGTAGGTTGGACATACTGCGAGTAGCACTTGAGTAGTAGGTATGGAAATTAATTAGTATGCTGTAATAGATCTTCGAACGAAGATACCCGGTCAGAAGGATGGCAGATAGAGAAACAAAACCGCGTGTGTTGATCCTCGTGCTTTTCGTCACTTGCGGAGGGCCAACATGTGGCGGTGCAGGGTCCGTGGCGCTGTGGCTGTTGCTCCCCCAACCCAAACATCAACAAAACCACCGTCTACCAACTTCAACGCAGACCATTTGACATTGAACGAATTAACTATAGCCAAAATGCTTCTCGACGAGGACCCCGCGACTGTACGTACCCCCGTCTCCATGAGAAAAGAAATATAAACCAACTAATCGACAGCTCATCCACCACACAGTCGGCAACTTCAACATCCACCCCGACAAACAAGCCGTAACGCGCATCAACGACTCCCTCTCTACCCTCCAACAATCCCGCGAACTGCGCTCTCGCGAAGCCGAATCCGCCCTCCGAAAACTCTCCCGCAACCTCAACTCCTTGAATGCGCAACATGAAGAAGCCGTAACCACGCACGACTCCGGAAGACACGCGCAGGGCATTGTCGAGCTGGACACGAAAAAGTTCCGGATTGCGAAGGCGGCATCGGAGTTGGAGATTGAGAGTGAGAGACTGGAGAGCGAACTGGAAATGTTGAAGGAGAGGTTGGCGGATTTGGAGGCGCAGGGACTAGAGGGGGATGAGGGAACGAGGAGGGAGAGGGAAGCTGATGATGCTACGATGTGAGTTTCCCTCTATCTCTGTTGTCTCATTTGCGGGCATATACTGACTATGGCAGTCTTCGTCTCAAGATCTTTAGATCTTTGGGCATCGATATCGAGCCGGATGAGGCCGGAAACTTCACCAAGGCTGTTATTCGCAACAGTCGGAAGGGTGATGTGCACGTGGTTAATGTCGACTCGAAGTTTTCACGGTTCTTTTATTCCAACTACTTCTGGTCGACTATGCAGGGATAAGTGTCGGTATTGGCGTTTGGGATAAGGCGTTCAGCATATGGAAATCGGTAACTATGTTATGTTTATGTCTATGATGAGTTATATACCCTTAAGGATGAATCAATATGGTACAGTGCAAGAAAACCTACCCGTGAACTTAGCAGCTACGAGACTCGGATGGTGCTTTTATGGTGAATTTTCTGTTTGAGTGGACTCGCCCTCGCTCAAGAGTTGCAGGACCTTTTTTCTGTCCTCATGAGACAGCATACTGCACGTCCCGGTAGCCCCCGTGGCCCTGAACAAGGGCTTCTCCTCAGGATACAGCTTCTCTACAATATCCAACAGCGCCGACTTGCGACTCTCCGGCATAGACCTGTCCTTCTCCCACAGCGCCATCCACCGGTCCTCAAGCCCAGCCATATCCCTCTCTACCTCATCCATACCCGGAATCTCCTCCCCATCCCACGTCAACGCAATACTCTTCGTAGTCGAACTAAGCTCAGAAGAAAACTGCACCTCAACCCCCAACCCTCCCAACCCCATCTCCTCCCCCCTCGCATTCCACAACGCCTGCAGCAAAGTCCCATTCTCCTTCTCAACCATCATCCACATAACCGGATACAAGCTCCTCGCCATCGCATTCCTAACCCCCTTCGTCGCCTCGCGCGTGCCCACCAACACTCCCAATTTCCCTCCCCCTCCTCCCCCGCCATTATCCACCGGCGACGGTCGAAGATTAAACGACCCCTCCAACTCCCGCACAAGGTTCGGACCCAGTTTTGTCTTCAGCGCTTTACACTGCACAAACACGCGCAGTGGATGCTCGTGTTTCGGTAAGTGCCATGTGCCCACTAAATCAACTCCCAGATCGTCGCGCCCGCCGACGCGGTGCAGGGAGAAAGCGGAGCGGCGGAGGACTTGTTGGACGGTGTATTCGTAGTGCGTGCCTACGTAGGTTGTGCTGGATTTTGGTAGGGCTATTCGATCGGCATAGGTGAGGAAGGAGGGGAGGTCATGGTGGTTTTGGGAGGGAGTGGGTGGTGGAGATGGGAGTTTGAAGAGGCGGCGGGTGAGGGGGGTGAAGGAGGGTGTGCTATGGAGGATTGCGCATTGGGTGAATTGACGATGGCGTGGTTGCTTTTGTCTTGTTAGGAGGAGTGTGTTTCGTATTGAGCGAGCTGGGCGCATGGTGTTGAGTGGTTGAAGAGAAATTGATCACCGCCTGGCTTTATCTTTTTTATCTTTTTCTCCGCATCTCCAACTTCACGAACCAAACCACCGCGTCCTCAGATACATGGATGAAATGAACACCTACTTGCAATAATCACATCTAATACCGCATCTGATAACCCCCCACATACCATAATCACCATGGCCGACATCCTCACCCAACTCCAGACCTGCCTTGACCAGGTAACCACCACCTCTCCCCGTTACCAGCCAACCAAACAAATCATCTAACCAACTGTACAGCTGGCAACCCAATTCTACGCAACCCTAGGCTACCTAACAACCTACCACGACAACTCCCCAGCAACCCAACCCCAAGTCCCCGACGCCGCCCCCGCCCTCGCAAAAGTCACCAAGAACTCCACGGCCCACCCCGTCCCAGCAAACGTCGCATCGCAATCCCAAGGTCAAGCCTCGCCACCTCCCCCCGGCCAACCAGGCGGCGGATCTGCAGCCCCAGAAACACCAGGTGGGAAAGGTGATGGCGGTGCCGGTGTTGTAGGAGGAGGGGATCTGAGCGATCCACTTGCTCCGGCGCCAGATCCGCCGAGCACGTTTGCGAGTCGGCAGAGGGAGTTGGCGAGGGATTTAATTATTAAGGAGCAGCAGATTGAGTATTTGATTTCGGTGTTGCCAGGGATTGGGTCGTCGGAGAAAGAGCAGGAGGTTAGGCTTAGGGAGTTGGAGGGGGAGTTGAGGACGGTTGAGGAGGAGAGGGAACGGAAGGTTAGGGAGTTGAGGGGGCTGAGGAGGAAGTTGGAGGGTGTGTTGGGAGGTGTTGAGATGGGGATTTATGGTGAGAGGTGATTATCTATGGATTTACATTATTGCCAACAGATCTATGAACTTGCATGTTCAATTAAATGAACCAAAATTCTATGGGTGGGTTTATCTCGCCAGCTCTCGTGTATCTCTGGGGTATAATATCTGCTCCGTAGTATCATAATATCTCTGCGGGTATCAAGGGAAAATAGATAAAAGAAACAAAAAAAAAAAAAAAAAAAAAAAAAAAAAAAAAAAAAAAAAAAATATCAGCCAAACTCGCCCATAAACACCAAACCCATGACCGGAAATAGATAAAGAAAACAAATGTCGGACCAAACAAAAAACGATCACCGAAACAAGCTTCTATACTCTTGCATCCTCGCCTCCTGAACGTCTTTCTTATCCAATTTCCCCCGGTTCATACTCAAATCCGCCAACTGCTGCTTCTTCTTTGCCAACTCGAAGATCTTCTCCTCAATACTCTCCTTCATCACAAACTGTACCGTGTTAACCTCCCTCGTCTGCCCCAAACGATGTACACGGTCGATAGCCTGTGCCACAGCCGCGGGGTTATATTGCGGCTCCATTATGTAGACATTAGACGCAGCGGTTAGGTTCAGGCCCACGCCGCCGGCGCCGATGGTGGCGAGGAGGATGGTGATGCTGTTGTCGTTGTGGAAGGCTTCGAGGGCGTGGTGGCGGGCTGAGAGGGACATTGTGCCGTCTAGACGGGTATAGCCTGTGATGCCGTTGTCTTTGAGGGCAATTTCGATTAGGTCGAGATGGGAGGTCCAGGCGGAAAACACGACGGATTTTATCGGTTTCTCGGCTTCGGGAAAGGTCTTGGTCTCTTCTGCGGAATCCAGGATTGAGGCTAGGAGGGCGTTCGTCTTAGTGTGCGGTCCTTCGTATTCTCCAATTGCCTTGGCTTGCTTCCGGTTCTGTTTTGCCTGGGCTTGGTTCACTTCGTATTCCTGGAGGCCTGCCGGAGTGATCGTAGAGTATGATGCTGGAATCCATCCTTCGCAAATCTGGCATTTTATATCGTTCAAAGACCCATTCGTTTGAGGCTTAAACACCTTCTTCCAGCCAGAGAAACAATCTGGGCAAAGGACATCGAAGCAAGGAAGCACAATGGCCATTGCGGTTTTCTTGTCTGAAGCACCGGTTTCCGTACTCGGCTCCTCCAAACGCTTCGCACACACTGCGCAAGCATCTGCTGACGATTGCTGCATCAGCGTGAACATCTCATATGCCTTCTTATCCGAGAGTCCCGTCGTAACTTCACCACCCTCTTCCAGGTCAATAGCATCATGTGCGCTAACCCCCTTAATCCGCTCACGGTCCTCAGGTTCCAAGAGCTCTTTTCCATGCGCACTAATCTGTCGTAAAATCATCATTGCCTTGAGAACGTGGTGGTACATCCGCCCCTTCATCTTCGTCTGGTCTTGGCCGGCAATCACACTCATCATCACATTCGATTCCTTCCGGAAGAATTCATGCAGCTGTCGTTCCTTATCAGAGAAGTCGAGGGTGATGATCTTATCATGGCGAGTAGGGATATCAATTTTATCCTTGACCCGACGGAGAGTAAACGAGTCAACAAGCACACGTAGACTTGCCAAGACCGTAGCATCACCAGTTTTGAACCTGCTAAGGATATGCATCGCGAATCGGGATCGATCATCATACGGGACTAGTCCAAGGAACTTGGTCACAGAAAGGAGATCATCCAGGCGGTTTTGGATGGGGGTACCCGTTACCGACCAGCGTCGTTCAGAGTTCAACTTGAAGATCGCTTGTGTCTGGGCAGCACTTTGCTCTCGTATCGTGTGCGCCTCGTCGAGCACAATCCGGAACATGTTCATTTTTGTCAAAGGACTCATACCGCCGCGTTTTGAACCACGCCCGGATATCTCGCTGAGTACGATGCTGTAGGTCGTAATCACTAGATCATACTGGGACAGTTTGTCGACGTCGGATGTCCGGTTCGAGCCGTGGAAGACGTAGTAAGAAAGGCCGTCCTCAACAACATGCTCCTTGATTTGTGACACCCAGTTGTTGACGGCACTGAGAGGAGCTACCAGCAGCGTAGTTCTGGTATTGCGAATGCTTGGTAGGGTTTTAACGAGCTCCGGATGTGGCGTCATATTTTCCCACTCGCTAGCCTGCTCGAGCGAAGTTGCGACAAGCGAAAGGATACTTAACGTTTTCCCTAATCCCATCATGTCCGCTAGTAGACCGCCCAAGCTTTGCGGAGGTTCCTCATCAAGGACCAAGCCACTGATAATCTCACGGTACTTTTTCGTCCCGTTGGGGCGATAGTCTATCCTCCAAAGCGAATTGTTATCTTCTTCCTTAGGGCCGAATTTGCGCGGTTTTTCCTTTTCCGTCATATACCAGAGTCCCTGCCTTTGGTGACGCAGGAGTGGAGTGGAAATAATCGAAGGAGGCTCCATTTCTGGGAGATTCTCCGCACTTTGCAACTGATCAAACATCTTCATGACGGCATCGTTGACTTCCTCGGCTGTTCGAACCTCATAGTTAACCCCCGACCGACCACGCGCCGCTACTGCTGGTAAGAAAGATGCTTGAGCACGTCGGCGTTCTGCATGTGGATTAAATACCGGAACGCCTTGTTCGACAGAGTTCGGAGTCCCCAGCCAGACATTATTCTGGCCGAGGTGTCTCCCGACAATGTCCGCGTCCTTCCTGAGGCCATAGAGGTTGATAGATGCACGGTAGAATGCGGAACAAGGTCCCCATGGGTATTCATCTGGTGACCGTCTTCGAACGTCCAATCGAGCCGTGATATCCACCTTCAAGGCAGGAGAATCGATTAAGGGAACAATCACTGCTGCGGTTTTGCAGTCTATTGCTCCGAATATTTTCTCATGGGGATCAGATACATCTATCCGATTGTTGCCCTGGTTTGCTTCCCTGTGCACTCCTAACTTTAGCGATGGCCAGTCGTGTTCCGAGTCTCCGAAGATGTTCTGCGCAGCTGGTCTAGGAACCATAATCGCTTGAACCATCGCATTTTCTAACTTTCCGTAGCAGACTCTTTGGATGCTGAGGTTATTGGAACCGGTAACTTGCAGGTCGTCATCGTCGCCGTAATTGGGAGCGTCTGGGAATTCATAACTCAGCAGGGTACCACCGTTTGTGGTTTCATTCTTCTTACCTAGTGTCAGATCCACGATGTTTGTGGCAGGGAAAGACTGCTTAGATTCGCCGTGGTCTTCCTTCATCCATTCCCCCAACCCACTATTCCCGGCCATTGTGAAGTTCCTGCGTTTCGCCTGCTGTTGCTGCTCATCAAACGGATCAACGGTCTTGATCCTCTTGCGCGGCTGGTTTTCCCGTCTCTCCACGCCATACATATCCTCTAACAAGCTGCCATGATGCGCACCGGTAGCTCCATTCTCGTTATTCCCATTCTCAAACTCTGTCGGCGTCGCAAACTGCACATCAAATGTCGGTTCTAATCTCACAGCACGCTGTGGCGACCCAGCCGCTCTATTCCCGACGCTACTCGACCGACTCGAATCCCGCCGTGGCGACCTTGATTTCGCGGTTGTCCTCGATAATGGAAGGCGTTGGGGGCTGAGAAACTGGTGGGTGGCGGTGACGGTGCCTGGCGGTGCGATGGAGGGCGCAGTCGCATGGCCGCGTGACGACTGACGACCGGGATCCGACTGTCCTGTTGTTCCTTCACCATGTAAGCCAACTGACTGCGAAGCAGCTGCATCCGGACTAGAATAACCATAAACAGGGTCCTCGGGTGGAGAGGGGCAACGGATCCGCGACGGGAAGCACAAAGTGCCATTAATGCCAGGGCCCTTTGCGGAAGTCGCATCGTCGTATAGATTTGAGGGACCAGAGGGGGTATATCTGGGGCCATTGTTACCGTTTGTCTGGATCTGTTTCCTGTAGGCTCGCGGGTCCAGGAGCATGGCCGCGTGGGATGCCATGATTGCTTTGCTTCGCTTCTCACTTATGCAGGTATCCGAGACAGGCTTGACGAGTCGTATCGCAGGTAGATAGGCGTTATCGCGGGGGTGAATAACACGATGCGATCGACGTTTATCGCTTTTCGGGGTAAATAATAGGAAGATAAGGTAGTCGTAGGTAGGTCGTTCGAGGGAGATGTCGGGATTTGACGAAGACGAGAGTTGAACTTCGACGACCGAGGCATGCCACACACTGAAAAGGAGCCGTGGCAGAGACAACGCTGAAAATAAAGAGATGTTGTCTATTAGTGAATATCATTCATTCTGGCGATCTCAATCACCAACACCGTAAAGGAAGGAGCGTTAAGAAGGGTAAAGAACCAGGAGTTTTGCAGTGCTCATGATCTCACTCGCGCCAAGCACGATAAGAACGCTTATCAAAGCATATACCAAAAGGGTAGTAAATATCGTGGAATTAATCGTCAATGCTACATAGTCTGGCTCTATGCAAATTAGAAAGAAAAGTGGTTGGCACATAAGCTCTATATACAAACAGCATGGAAGTAGATGATTTTGTAACCGCAAGAGATGTATCCTGCGGTAAAAACGAAACAAGTACTCCTAGTACCGGATTCCCGTAACACACGCTAAAAACGAAGAAAAAAACGAGGAAAAGTGGGAAGAAACAGAAAGAATTCGAAGCAGAAAGTAGCGGTAGGTGCTTTAGCACCACGTGAAAACTGGGTTCTTGCTCTTAACGGCCTCCAAACGTTCCACAATGACCTTGCGCTGGTTTCCTTCCATACCTTCTGCGGCAGCGTACCCCAGGTCACCTTCCAGGTCATCGCTACCAAAGACAAAGGCTGCCTGGTTGCGGACAGTGGAGAGTGAGTCATTCTTACGGTGACCGCCAATGCTGGCAGATTTGGCATGGGGCCGAGGAGGGAGAGTAGCCCAGCTCCTGTCCAGGTCTCTCCCGTTGGTGCTAAGTCCGTCAATGCTACCTCGGTTGACTTCATGCGCATCGATCGTTGCAGGACTGCCGCCCAGCTTGCTGGATTCGCCTCGATCACGGGCAAGTTCGAATCGGTTCGGGTTGGGGAGTTCACTTGAGGGGGATCCGAGACCTAAGAGGTCGTGGTCGGATTGCAACGACATGGCCGCACCAATGTCCATCTCCTCATTGTCGGGGTCGTATTGCCGCGCCTTGCGTTTTTGTGCGTCTGTCGACGGGGCGCGGAGAGGAATTGCAACGGGAACATCCACCAAGTCATCCCAGACACACACCCGCGTCCGCCTTGTTAGTTCCAAAGGACCATGGTCCGGATGCTTCAGAGTCTCTACGACATTCCAAGCTTGACCCTTCATGACGGCCATTTGTCGGGCAAACATGCTCTCCTTGAAATCGTCGTCCTGCGCGAATATTTTCCGGAGAGCCATTTGCGTGCCACTCCACCATGCCGTCGAAGTCAGAAGCGGTAAGAAATGATCCCTCGTTCGTTGCGAAAACGGCTGTCCGATAAGGGAGACGGGAAGGAATAGCCATCCGAAGGGGAAGCTTCGCCACTATTAAACATAAAAGCGTTAGTGCATCGTCACTTCTTCATTCAACTTCGGGATAGCTTACTGCGTCAGGATGCTTCCATGGCCATGACAAACTATTGTCAATGGCTCCGATCTGAATCGAAACCGGCGGTTCTTGTTGTCCGCTCAAAGGTGTCCCGGTGCGGCTAATAGCAACCATGGTTTCGTGACGTTTGTAAGGATACGGTGCGCTGGTGCTTTGGTTTTGATTTGGGTTCAAGGAAACAGGTTGTGCTGGACGCAAGTAGTCATCATCCTCGTCATTACCTGGCTGCGGGCTGTTCCCGTTCGACTTCGGAGGATCAGCGACAATAGAGACCTCTTCTGAAAACGAGTCGATTTTGATCATCCAATTATCCAGACCACGGTCTGTGTTGCGCATAATGTAGTCAAGAATGACAAGTTTCTCCAATGCTTCTCTGAACGATTGTTTGAGCCCTTCGGTCCACTGGAATCGGCGCTCGTTGCTCTGTTCGCGTGGCGACGGCGACGGCACATCACCGTCTGCGTATTCATCTTCATCCTCATCATCCGAATGGATCCCGGATGGACGACAGGACTCGTTCCATGGCCGCTTCTTTCGTTTCGGCGCATCCTCCGCACGAAATCCAGTGTTGGCTTGGTCGGGCCATGGGTGTTCTCGCAGGAATATATTCGCATCTTTGTATCCCTTGAGGAACACTTGGAAACTGCCTACCTTGGGAGGGAGCTGTTTCTTGCCCATCCAGGCTTTTCTCCGGTCCCAGAAGTCGTAGAAGAATGATTTCGAGGATAACCAGACGATATCGGTGTAAGGAACCATGTGAGTCTGTAGACGCGCGTCAAGGACATAGGCCGCCGCTTCCGATACGTAAGAAAGGTTAGGAATCAAACATGCCCGTCCAAAGAAGCACGGGAACAAGTTCCGGTGAATCCACTTTGTCCACTTGGGGTTGCGAGACGCATAGGGTTCCTCATCCTTGGGTTTGAAGACGCCCACCACTTTCCCTTCGCTGTTGCGCGCGAAGTAGCTACCGGAACTTCCCTGGGAGATCATGCGAGGATGAGTCCCTAACTCGATCGCCACACGGACACTTTCCACCACATCTTCGAATTCACCCCGCGCTCGCCGTGCAGCGCCTTCCATCTCCTCGGATTCGAGCGTCTCCGCAGTGACCGGTCGAACGCCCTCTGGAGCTTGGAAAACGGAGTGGTAAATTTCCAGCCTCTCCTCCTCTAGCGTTTTCCCCTTAACCTTGTTGATCTTGAACTTGGAGGCAATTTCCTCGGCCCAACGTTCAAGACGCGCGTTGATGGCCTTGATGTCTACACCGGAGTTCCTGCGTCCTCGTCGATGGTAATGACCACTATGTCTTCGTCGATATTCGGGAGGTGTGGAGAGCCCGGAGGCCTGCATTTGGGCTCGAGAGGAGATGGGAGCATATCGAGGGGCGGATTGGGAAACGTTGCTGGAATTAACTCCATGAAGGTCGTCATCGTCGGAATCGTCATAGTTGAAGAATTCGTGTCTATCCTCCTCCTGTGCGAGACGGGCATAGCCCGAAGTTGCAGGTCGATTCTTCTTCGGCATGATCGAGCGGTTTGAGGAGGTCAATTATTGATCGAGTGTTCGCAGGACAGCGTTCGGAGGCGAAGGAGGATAGATCATCAGCGAAGGCAAAAAGAGCCGAATATTAATAAGGCGAAATAGATAAGGGGATGAAACGAAAGACAGGAAGGAGAAGGTCTATTCAAAGCATTACAATCATAAAGCAGAAAGAAAACAAAAAAAAAAAAAGGGAAAGAAGCAAAATCGACTGGTAGAAATGATAGTAGTAATGTAGTCGAGTTGTTCCTTTTGGGGTCCTTACGACTGCACTGGGGCCCTGATTACCAGTAATTACTACACGTGACTGTGCTACCGTCGCAGTGAGACCTTGGGCAAACCCATCAGCCACAGATTCTGGTAATTACCATACCGCTCAGCCACATAAATGCCGTGTGGCTCCACCGGGCGGAGAAGCTTAACCACCGACGCCCCTGAAAGGTTCCCATATGAAAAGCCATGACGATGCAATGAAGAAATAAAGAGGGAAATATTGCACTTTTTACAGAGTATCCGGAGGTCTGGACATATTCAACAAATATGTTGGCCGTTATGTCAAAGATAGGGGATGGTTGACACGCCGATACAGGACAGTATGAAGTTTCCACTAATAGAAACAAGCCGACGACGACAAATGAAGATCCCCAGACTCATGTGGGAACAAAAAAGGACAGTTGGTACGTAACCCGAGGGAGATTGGCGTGTATAATCCTCGAACTGCTTCTCCTGGTGCTTCAGCCTTGACATGAGTCTGCTGGACAACTGCCTTGGGACTCCTATGCAATTCAACGAGATACACATTTCGGATAGGGTTTGCGTCCGGATGTTGCAGGTTCATCAAGCGAAACTCTCACAAAGAGTACGGAGTAAGCTTTGACCCATTAACCCGGACTGGACTTCATCGGGTCTCACTGGACCATTTATCCCCGGATCGCGGTACGGAGTGTTATAAGCGAGAGCTCCTTTGCGCGGGTCGTTTGGGTGGATTTCATCTACCCATTAAGGTATTCCTGTTTTGCGGTTTTATATCCACGTGAATGTGGTCTTCAGAACAATGGAACTCCATTGATGAAAGACCTCAAACATGGCCCTATGTCACCAGTCAACGAATGTAGGGGACAGTCATTTGGATCAAATCGTTGGCTCTCGATTGGTCGAAACGGTTGATATCTCCGCTGACAGGAAATCAAGACCATGGCATCTGGAACGAGTGCTTTTACCATACTACGTGATATTGATGATAGCCCTGACTGAGCGTCAAGAATAACATGCCAGTATCTAATAGTTTGTGTGGGTGCATGCATATTTCACGCGATGCGTTCGCCGAAGAAAGGGAGCCATTCCCTGCGTCCTGCATTACATACTCGAGGATTCTGCTGTCCAGGATTAATATCGAGTTCGATACTGATAGCCCAAATAGCATTTAGAATTCAGAACATAGAACAGAGAGGCTGGAGATTTCCCATTGCTAGGCAAGCCTGTTGAGATAAAGCCGATGATGTTTATCCGCCTCTCCCTATCGACCCACGCTACGGCCCTGTCTTGGTTATTCTTATAATTGTCGATATCTGCAAATTGCTTGTAATATATCTAAAGAAAATTGTTGTCTCTTTTTTAGTGGTGCTTCCATTGCTGCTGCTGCTGCTGCTGTTATTGAATGTTGGTAGTGGTGGTGGTTGACAGCCCTCGAGAGATTCTTACATATCACTGATCGATAAGTTTTGCTTTTGGAATTTATGGGATTTCGCTCCTATTTCTCCCCCCTCCCTTTTCAACGTCGCCAGTCAATTGCAGCCCCCCGTCGTTCAATTCCCTTCTGACGCAGGTTTAGATTGGAAAAGCATCCACTGAGTTCATCTGTGAATTCTGTGTTGTCTGTTTTCTAATCTAGCCGGGCTCCCAATTCCTCCGCGGTTCTCGATTCGCAACTCCTCCGAGGACGTGGACTCCCCCATATTCTTCTCTTCCTTTTTTACCTTGCCTCCTCTCGGTCAATTCGGTCATATCTGGCCGGATTTCTAGTCCGTTTTCCTCCACCACTTCCACGGTGGCTTCCATCCTTTTCCGGGCGTCGCCCATCGACCCAGCCCTCCGTCCTCCGTCGCCCTCCGCGTCGCAGACTCACGAGCTCCCCAACTATAGCCAATCTTCCTCGATCGATTCCGAAGCAGCATCTCGTCAGCCGCTGACGGATGCTGCCGTGGGTGTGTCTTCCACCGCGTCACACTTCTCCGGTGCCCTTCCCGAGGTGGGCGGCATCGATAGTCACAGCCATAGCAACAACGGCTTTGAGTCCAGCTCCTTAGGTCCGTCGCTTCCGGGTCTGTCTGCTCTCGCGTCGGTCGCGTCTGCTCCTACATCGAATCTGCGGTATGTGCTATCTTAAGATCGAGTCGGGAAATCCCATGTCGAAGGGTCTATGTTGAAAATCTCGCTCCTCGAACCCCGTTGCCATTGTATAATTTCCAACACTGTTATCGCCATAATATCTGTGTACAAAGGACAAAGAAAGAAAAAAACACGCTGCTTTGACCAAAAGAAAGTATGCTGACCGGGTCTTCTCTACGTGTTCAGAGCGTCGAGCAGCAATGCGATGAACATGAACTACGCGACGTCATCTCCCGCAGCCACGACTGGAGGACAGGGGAATCATCCGGTGAGTGGTTGATAGTAATATTTCCTAATATCTGCTGCTTTTATCTCAACTTTTCGTGCTGTGATCTTTTTCCCTGTGTTATCGCGGCGGGTCTTGGCGCGCACCAAATCCTTATCGCGCCCGGTCCAGCAATCAAATCTCTCACTCCCGATCTTATCAACCATCGCACATCCTCTCACTTTCTGCCTCACCGTCCGTATCAGTGCCTTGTCGTCTCCTCACTTTCTCTCTCCTCTCCTCTCTTACCTTCCTCCTCTTTCTGTATTCTCTTGCATAATGGCGACTACTTTGACTGACCAGAAACGCTCTCAATTACAGCCGGTTTGCCAGAATTGTGGCACGTCCACCACTCCCCTCTGGCGCAGAGACGAACTCGGATCGGTCCTCTGCAACGCCTGTGGTCTATTCCTGAAACTCCACGGTCGACCCCGTCCGATAAGCTTGAAAACAGATGTGATCAAAAGTCGTAATCGAGTTAAAACCGCCGGCCAGGGTCCAAAACGCAAGGTACATCGTTACCTGCCAAATTTTTTTTCTTCTTTGTCCTTTCCTCCGATAAGGTGCTAACTGATAGCCCTGATAGTCTGGCGGTACTGCCGATGCGAATGGCTTAACCTCCGCGCAATCCGACGCAGGAACCCCTCCCCTTGGCTCCCATGGATATCGTCGCGCGTCGCGAAAGGCGTCCCCGAGCCATTCGGATCGCTCCAATTCACCTGTCTCCCGGACAGATACTCCGGGCCTACCTTCCATGCACCAACACAATTCCAACATCGCGCCCCAACACATGTTTGACAGCGTTACCCTCGCAGAACAGAGCCTAAACCAACACAATGGCCATGCGTCCCTGCAGCTACGCCAACCGTCTCCCACTGTGGACCGTCACATGGAGGCCCCACAAACATACGAGAGGCTTCTGGCCGCCAACACCAAGCTCAACACCCGCGTCAGTGAACTGGAAGTGATCAATGAGCTCTTCCGGGGTCGTGTTGCGGAACTGGAGCAGAGCGATGCCACTGCGCGCCGTTCAGAAATGATCGTCCGGGATTCCGAGGTGCGTCTTCGAAGATCCCTGGAAGATTCTCAACGACGGGAAGACGACCTCCAGCGACGTGTAGCCGAGCTTGAGACCCAGTTGTCCAAGCGCCCTAGTGGTGACAGTAATCTGGCAAATAACGAAAGTCCCGGTGAACCTATGGCGAAACGAATTAAATTGTCCGATGTGGTGGAACAACCCTCTGCTTTCTCACCTACCAAGTCACCCAAGAGCATCTAGGAAAGTATATTGGATGCATCGGAACTAGGCATTTACTTGTATACGACTACCACATACACCAATAAGAAAAAGAAAGAAAAAAAGAAAAAAAGAAAAAAAAGACAAGGAAAGAAGCAGTTCTCCCATCGCCGAAATCCTCTGATCCTCCCTGCTCTTTTTGATACCCTTTACGACTTTTGTCATTGGCTGGATATAAATCGGAATATTAATACGCCTTTACTTTTGATTTCAAAACCTCTTGTTACTTTCCTTCTTCTCTGTTACGGTCCTATCTTATCTCCTTTCTTATCCCACATGCCAGGGAAAGGATAAGGAGTATAACATTTCTCATTCTTGTTTTGTTCCTCGAGACAGCAAAAGCAGTGAAGCAAACATATCGGAAAAGAAAAAAAGGAGTGGACGTTTTCTATACTCTTTGTTCTTATTATTATACTCTTGAATTGAATATTTTCCCTTCATTTGGGCTACGACGTTTCATCCTATCTACATCTTTTTTTCGACAAAAGCCATGTCGGAGTAGACGACGGGACTCAAAAGCCAATCGTTCTATCTATTTCCTTTTATCTTCTTATATCTGGCTATGTTGGTCCTTTTGATTAGATCATTTATTGGACTTGTGACAAGCAACGAAATCTATTATTCGAGTCAATCAGTAAAAACAGTTTATGACGACCAACTTTTCCTTTATCGCTGATAATATGTACTTGCAGTTTTCCGAGATCCCAATGAAAATACAGGAGAAAAAAAGAAATAAATAAACGATGGATGATAGTGAGATAGACAAGAAAAAAGGAAAAGGAAGAGAGTGTATATGTATCAGATCATGAAAGTGAATGAATGACAATAACCGGGGGGTATAGTAACGAAACGACTAAGCAATGCGCTCATGCTCAACTCTTTTGTTGTGAGTGTGGATCTGCTTCTCACGCGTGATACTCCAAAGACAAACCACGATTCCGGCAAGACCAGAGAAAAACGTGGTGTAGTACGCGGCTTGGTAGCAGCCCAGTCCGTCAGGGCAGTCCCGCTCGCCGTCCGGACCGACAACAGAGTGCTTGTCGTAAATGTTTCCGTAAAGCATGTTGAAGACATTGCCACTCAAAACGGGCGCCATGGTCATTGCGCCCCAGTTTTGGGAAAGACCGCCGATACCGAATGTATAGGCGACCAGGGAAGGGAAGACGCCGAAGAGGAAGCCGTATGCGATCCCTGTGAAGCCAGAGACTAGAACCAATGTGTTAGGGTTGTCTATACTGGCGCCTGCGAGTTGGGTTCCTGTAAAGACGATTGCGGAAATGAAAAGGCACCAGAAACGTGACATGTTCAATTTCTTGACCAAAAGGTCTGACCCAATGCCTATGAGCAGAAGATGGTTAGCAGCAAGTTTCAGAACTACGAGCACATAGGGTTACATACCACTAGAGAGGCGGCCGAGAAAGTTTCCGCATGACAAGATGGACACGTGCATGACTTGTCGTTGCTGGATAAACTTGGCAGACGCACTGTCATCGTAGTGGTTCCAGAGTGCCTTAGTCTGTATAATGTTAGATATTGAAAACATGTGGGTTAGGCAATCACTCTTACGCTGTTGCCAATGTTGCTGTCGAGACGTTAGCCATGGAACCCAATGTTTTCTATTAACAAGCGGGAGTCACATACTTGATAGTCATCAATCCAAGTCCAGAAAGGAGCGCCATGGTCAGGAAAAGCTGCCAAAATTCGACCTTCGCGAGCATTGCAAGGCCTCGAATGTCTGGGTGGGGTGAGTCCATGCCAATGTCAGACAAAGCATCATCATGATCCTCGTCGGTATTATGTTTGGGATGATCCTCGTTCGCGGAATCCTGTGACGACCTCGACTTGGACACCAAAGACGAGGTCTCACCAACATCGGAATTGTGTACAGGAGAGTGGGAATTGGATACGATGGATTGCGACCGGCCACGCACGGAGTGCTGTGGTTCAAGAGTAGAAGAACTCTGCGTACCTGCTTCATCAGATTCTCCTGTGTGATATGAAAACTCGGAGGACTTGGTCCGGCGCAACGGCCTAGACTCTGCTCTTGATTCAGACGACGATAGTGGCACGTAAGGATCGCTGGGAGGCATAATTCGAAGAAACGGAATCGAAACGATGGTCAAAGCGAAGGTTCCCAGCGCCAGCAACAGGAGGAACCGGCCAGTGTCATCTTTGAAAGCGAAAGACGACACGGTGGACCAAAAGAAGGCACTCAATCCGAAGGCTGCCAGAGGAAATGCAGTTGCCGTCCCGCGGTGGTCTGGGAAATTGGATGCCGCTGTAGGTGAAGTACTTAGCATTCAAGACCCCCATGTCTATGGAGGGTCAGTCCGCACCTGTCTTGATGGAGGCCGAAAAGGCAGAGCAACTTCCAAAGCCCGTGAGGAAGACGAAGAAAGATAAAAGCACTGCTCCTAGCGATCCCTCTCCATGCTCGTAGGCTGTTTTGAGGAGACAAATGAGCTCACCATCGCCCAATATTACCAATCAACAAGGATGATACAAACCTGAATAAACTGGATAATATCCCACTCCCAGTGTTATCGCACCCAACAGTGTCGTGAGTCGTGGCCCACGAGCATCGGTCAACAACCCCAGAGGAATGCCTGAAGCGTACATCCCCAGATTACCGGCCGTACCCTAGAAGATGTGAACATCCATTCCCCACCATATTATAAACAATCCAGTCTATCTCACGATAAAGTTGACTTCGGTTGACGATAGTTTCATTCGTTCTCCGAACTGGGGCGCCCATGCTGAGTATGCATACTATAAGTAGACCAAACCATTAGCAACTTGTTCCTGAAACCGACATTGTTCCATGCATTTTCCATTAAGCAAGAGATAATAAACGAGATGGTCGTACGTTGGTTCCGGCCGCAAGAGCGACCACCGTTGCCGCGATAGCGGAAACAATGCGCTTGGTTTTATCGGTTGAGCCCATCATGAAGGCCTGTCAGGGTGCTAAAGGCACCTTTTCTGTCCACAATGTGTTGGTGGCGTCTGGCATACAACGAAAGAGAAAAGGAGACGATTCCGACAACGATTGAACGTCAGCGTCCCCACAGAAAAAAGGCGGACTAGGTGTCAGAATGGATATAATTAGCAGGAGATAAAGTCGCAATAACTGATTGATTGTATGGATTCGGATAGAGAGCGATTGATTGCGGGCCGAACTGGTCACGGTCCGGCGGTACACGAAGACCGGGAGATTTCGTGCAAAAAGGAGAGACTGGAATGCAAGATAGGCCTATCGAAGAAACGAAAAGGAAAAATATTCAGCCAAAAGGAAGGACTGGAGAAGAATCCGGAGGCCGCGCATGGGGGGTTGCTCTCATCCGTTTCGGGATTGCGATAACGGTCACGTGAGCGGTATGACTAAAATCGCATGACGAAGGCGGCGATGATCGCATTCTCGGTTCGCGCTGTCAGTCGACCATCTCTGTATACCAACAGGACTGTCAACTCTATCAACAAGCAAACACAATGGGCGCTCTTCTGTCTCTGCCGCTCTTAGCGGTTCCGAGCGTTGGAACGGTATGTTGACTGTATTGAAAGTGCTTGTCCAGGACTCTACTGACGCTGATTAGCTCGTCACCGTTGCGACCTCATGCTGTGGAGCTGCGACCTGCTCAGCGGTTTGTAGTGCTTGTGGGAAGTTCCAAAACAGGTAAATGATGTCTCCATTGCTAGTGGTTAATTCTGGGATGCAGCACGAGTTGGGAATGAGAGCATTCGCTGACGCTTGGATGGTACAATTAGTATGGCTACGCGAATTGCCTACGCTTTCATCCTTTTGATCAACTCCATCGTATCGTGGATAATGCTCACACCATGGGCCCTGAAGAAACTTCAACATATTACCATGGACTATATGCAGATCAGATGCGATGGAAAGGAGTGTCATGGATGGGTGGCGGTTCACCGTATCAACTTCGGCCTTGGCTTGTTCCACTTGATTATGGCTCTTCTGCTGTTGGGTGTGCGAAGTTCCAAGGATAGTCGCGCTTCTCTGCAAAATGGATTCTGGGGTCCGAAAGTGGTTCTGTGGATTGGATTCGTCGTGATGTCGTTTTTCATCCCCGAGTCGTTCTACTTCGTCTATGGCCCGTACATTGCCTTCTTTGGCGCCATACTCTTCTTGCTGCTGGGCCTGATCCTTCTCGTGGACTTGGCACACTCGTGGGCTGAAGTGTGTTTGCAGAAGATCGAGGACAGCGACTCGCAAGTGTGGCGTGGGTTGCTCATTGGCTCCACTGTCGGGATGTACGTTGCATCTATTGTCATGACGGTCCTTATGTACGTCTTCTTCGCGTCAAGCGGATGTTCCATGAACCAGGCCGCCATTTCGGTAAGCTTTCCTGTTTCCTCCGCATGAATTTAGAGGACTAACGATTTATGAAAGATCAACTTGATCGTTTTCATGATCATTTCGATTATATCCGTCCAACCGATAGTGCAGGAGCACAACCCCAGAGCCGGCCTGGCACAAGCTGCCATGGTGACTGCGTACTGCACATATTTGACCATGTCCGCCGTCTCCATGGAACCAGATGACCATCATTGCAATCCGTTGATCCGTTCTCGAGGCACTCGGACGGCCAGCATTGTCTTGGGTGCCATTGTCACAATGGCGACTATCGCATACACTACGACCCGTGCTGCTACCCAGGGAATTGCGCTTGGCTCAAAGGGTGGACACAACTACTCTCAACTCGGAACAGACGATAACGAACACGGTCTGGTCACCCAGCAGCCTAACAGCCGTCGGGAGATGCGCGCTGAGGCCCTCCGTGCGGCCGTCGAAAGCGGAAGCTTACCTGCAAGCGCTCTGGATGAGAGTGACGATGAAGATGATGACGATTATGCCACGAAAGACGACGAGCGAGGATCGACGCAGTACAACTACTCTTTGTTCCACATTATTTTCTATTTGGCTACCTGCTGGGTTGCGAGCCTGTTGACTCAGAACTTGGATCCGGACTCGCAAACCACCGACGACTTTGCTCCTGTGGGCCGGACCTACTGGGCCAGCTGGGTGAAGATTATCAGCGCATGGGTGTGCTATGCTATTTACTCGTGGACGTTAATTGCGCCTGTTGTTATGCCTGATCGCTTTGATGTGTACTGATGCCGGTTATTCCCAAGGAGTATGGCGTTATTGTATCTGAATTGCTTGCTATTCGTATAGTATAGAAACGTTGTATCCGTATTTTATATTTCATCTTTATTTTCCCACTCATCACCGAGTATTGAGTGTTGCTATGGGATATATTCATATCGTCTGCCGAATTTGGTATTGTAAGAGGTTCCGTAGAGCGCGTCAATGACGAACCGCGCGGCGCGTCTCCCCGAACGTCTTCCTCACCAGCCCAACTTCACCATGGGATGAAAAATGGCTACTATCAAGGCTATCGAGGCCCGCTCGGTGCGTCTTATTCTCTTGTATGTTTCGCGACTATTCACTGATCAATTCAGGTCCACCAAATCCAATCTGGTCAGGTCATTGTCGACCTGTGCTCCGTTGCGAAGGAGCTTGTCGAGAACAGTCTCGATGCCGGTGCTACATCAATAGGTATTTCTCTAACTGTTACTTATACTTAATGGGCTTTATAATTGATGTGGAATATTTGCAGAGGTCCGCTTTAAGAACAATGGACTAGATTTGATTGAAGTACAGGACAATGGGGGTGGGATAGCACCAGAAAACTACGAAGGCCTAGGTGCGTTTATTTATTTCCCTCGCATGCTTATCTTCTAGGCTAGCGCTGATCAGGAACAGCACTCAAGCACTACACCTCCAAACTCTCGACCTACGAAGACCTCACAAGCCTACGAACCTTCGGTTTCCGCGGCGAAGCACTATCCTCACTATGCGCCCTCTCCGACTTCCACGTTGTCACAGCACAAGCCCAACAAGCCCCTCGAGCCAATCGATTAGACTTTGAGCCGTCGGGAAAACTGAAGAAGACACAAGTCGTGGCAGGTCAAAGGGGTACAACGGTTTCAGTGGAGGGTCTGTTCAAGAGGTTACCTGTTCGACGGCGTGATCTCGAGAAGAATATAAAGCGCGAGTATGGGAAGGTTTTGAACCTTTTGCATGCATACGCCTGTATTAGCACGGGTGTTCGCTTTAGTGTGAAAAATACGATGGGAAAGACGAAGAATGTGGTGGTTTTCGCGACGAGTGGGAATCCGACTACGAAGCAGAATATTGCAAATGTATACGGTGCGAAGACTCTGTCGGCCCTGATACATCTTGATTTGGCTCTGGAGTTTGAGCCCTCCACGTCGTCTGGGAGGCGTTTGGTGGGAGGTATTCAGGATGACGGGGCCAACAAGCTCCAGGTTCAGGGCCATATATCTCGGCCAGTATTTGGAGAGGGGAGACAGACGCCTGATCGGCAGATGTTATTTGTGAATTCAAGGCCTTGTGGTCTGCCGCAGATTTCCAAGGCATTCAATGAGGTCTACAAGTCGTTTAACGTTTCTCAGTCGCCGTTTATATTTGCGGATTTTCATATGGATACGAATGCCTACGATGTTAATGTGTCGCCTGACAAGCGGACGATTCTTTTGCATGATGCCGGTGCGATGATTGAGTCTTTGAAGATGTCGCTTACGGAGTTGTTTGAGTCTGCGGATCAGACGGTTCCTCAGTCCCAGCCGAGTCTTAAACAACAGTTTCTGGGAAGCTCACAGGCCTCTCTGGCATCTAGAAAGCCGTCTACTCGCGCTCCGTCTCCAGCAAATGACAAGGAAGACGAGGAAGAAGGGGTACAGAATGAGGAGGACTCAGATGCCGATGAAGGAGCCGAATCTACCCCGCGCAATGCCCAGGACAGAATCAAGAGCTTCCTAGGCAGCCTGGGGAGTAGCAGTCGCGGGGTGGATACCTCATCACCAGCTCATTCTAGTATACCAGATCGACCACCCGATTCATCACCAACCGCGACTCCTACGAGGTCTGTTCCGGTACTGAGCAGCCAGGCCCACGGCACAGAAGACCATGATGACCGCGAGCAATCACCAAGCGAGTTACCTGATGCATCACAAGACCAGCCCCCTATCCAGGAAGAAACAGAGTTGGAACCTTCACAAAATACCGCCATTTCCGATGAACCTATATCGTCACAGGTGGATCCGCCCGAGGAAACACCAAATACTATACAAAATGCGTTTGATCGCATGCGCCCAAGGAGAATGCCAGCTGAAGTTGCTACCATCACTATAGGAGACAAAACAGTTACCTCAATGGTAGGAAGCGAGATACCTAAAAAGAGAGCTGTAGATAGCGGCTCTGGTGGCTTTATGGGGAGGAAGAGAAGGATACATACTCCGTCCCGTCCTGGCATATTCGGTCGATTTTCTGCTCCGGGAACTCAGGCAGCGGAGGCTTCAGAGGATGTAGATGAAGAGGAGGAAGAGGAGGATGAGGATGAGGTCAACGAGGATGCTGAGGACATTCAGGATGAACAGTCAGAAGATGGCTCTCAGTTGTTTGTTCCTGACGATGAAAGCAATCATGCAGCCGATGACATGGAAGAACCAGAGTCAGCCGAGCACGATGCCAGTGATCAGGTTGAACACGATACGCAAGCCGCCGCACCAGATAACATGAGCGAAGAAGAAAAGAAAGCTCATGAAGAGGCTGAGGTACAGCGCCTTATCCAGCAAGCAGAAGACAAGGCCGCACTACCCGATGAAAACACCACCAATCGAGTCAATAAGATGAACAAAGGTGCTGCTCACAAAGATACCACCGCCCACTTGATAGGGGCTATCAATGGCTCCCTCTCCAAAATCCAATCTCAAATGGAGCAGCTACAGAACAGTCTTCAATCGCAGACCCCGGATACATCCGCAGCCCCAGACGCAGACGAAGCCGCAACATCCCAACAAACCGCTGAGGACCGTCTCTCACTAACAGTGGCCAAAGACGACTTTGCCAAAATGCGAATCATCGGCCAATTCAACCTCGGTTTCATCATAGCCACGCGGTCATCTCCAAAGAACGACTCGGACACCGGTAACAAAGACGAACTCTTCATTATCGACCAACACGCCTCAGACGAGAAATTCAACTTCGAGCGTCTCCAAGCTGAAACCGTCGTCCAGAATCAGCGTCTCGTCCAACCAAAGACCCTCGACCTGACCGCGGTCGAAGAGGAGGTCGTCTTAGAAAACCGTGCTGCACTTGAGAAAAACGGGTTCATCGTGGACATCGACGATAGCGGAAACGAACCCATCGGCCGACGATGTAAACTCGTCTCTCTACCACTAAGCAAGGAAGTTGTATTTGGCGTCCGGGATCTCGAGGAACTCATCGTTTTGCTATCCGAGACGGCGAGTCAGTCGTCAGATATCTACATCCCCCGACCTACTAAAGTACGAAAGATGTTCGCCATGCGCGCATGTCGCTCTAGCATCATGATCGGGAAGAACTTGACTTCGCGACAAATGGAGAAGGTGGTGAAGAATATGGGGACCATAGATAAGCCGTGGAACTGTCCGCATGGACGGCCGACGATGAGGCATTTAATGAGTCTGGGAAATTGGTGTGAATGGGGTGAATGGGATGTCGTTGGGGATGAGGATGGGGACGGAGAGACTGGGGTGGATGACATGGGTCTTTGGAGGAGTTATCTCGAGGAAATGGCGGATGGCGAAGAAGAGGAGGATGTGGAATAGAACATTGATAGTTGGATACTCGTATTTTAAAAGCTGAAGCTATACTACGGTATATAAACAAATCCAATCCAATCCACTACCACCACTTCAACCACCCACTACCCTCCCCATTCCCACTCCCATTCCCATCCCCCCTCCTACCAACACCATCATCCCCCCTCTGCTCACCACCCCTATCATCCCCATCCACACCCCCCTCCTGTTCCTCAATCTTTTCCTCAACCCCCCTAACAACCTCCTCCAGCACCAACAACTCCCTCTCAATAACCTCCGCCCAATTCTGCACGTCCCCAATCTCCTTCAACCCCTCCCGCGCCTTATCCGCCGCCCCCTCCAGCTCCCCATTCGACCGCCCCAGATCCTCCGTCGCCCGCGCAACGTCGGTTTCTTGTTTTGAGAGGGCGGTGGCGTTGGCGTGCAGGAGGGAGGCGCGGGCGCGGAGGGGGGCGTCGTGGTTGTTGCCGATGGAGGAGAGGGATGCGGTGAAGGCGGTTTTGGCTTCGGTGGTGCGGCGGGTTTGGTCTTCTTCTGAGGGGTCTTGGGTTGGGTGGTTTGGGTGGGGTTGTGTTTGGGAGGACATGGTTATTTGATATGACGATATATATCTGTGGTGGGTTTGTATGTGTTGATAAAGTGATATGGTTAAATATTCGAGTATGCTACACGGAGACAGGCTAAATATAAAGTGTCACCCCACTTAGATCACTCAGATTAGTTACAGCTCTAGTTACACGTGAAATGTTCGTATCAACAAAAAGTCCTCGCTAGATGCTCCAATATCCGAACGCCGTGCCATAAAGAACGATAGAAAAAAAAAAAAAAAAGAAAAAAAAAGAAAAAAAGACAATAAATCCAATGATATCCACAATTATTAATTTGCATTACCGGGCTACATATTAGCCAACTCTTGATCGATCTGTCGATCAAGGAAGGCTCTTTTGTCCCCGGTCAGCGTTGTCTGGAGTCGAGTTTCGACAAGAGCGCGAACTAGAATAACCGTTAGCAACTGCATTTATTTAAATGGATATTCGAATTGTAACTTACTCTGCTTCTTCGTAACGGTATCCAAATCAGCCTCCATCAAACAGTTGCGAATAGCCTCAGTGATAGAAGCCTCGTCCGGTCCAGTGCCACTGTGGAGATCAAAAGCACTAGTAGACCTCGAGTGGTATCCTGCCATAAGCGGACTCTGGGTAGCTGGTCGAGAATTCAACAGATGCTCCGTACTAGGTGCCATTCCCATGCTCTGTCGGCTCATGCGCATGGGGTTGTCCTGGTAATGGCTGAGGTTACTCATCGACATGGGCCGTGACGGAGGACCTCCCAAATTCTGCTGGTCGGTGTATCTGGAGAAATTCGACATATGGGAGTTGCGGTTACCAGGCATGTTTCCGCCAAATGGCGCCGGAGATTGCGGTGGCATGTACGGGTTGACATTGCGGTTTTGACCCGGAAACCCGGTGAGGATTGTGGACGCTGGCTTCACGGAGGAATAGTTGGAGTGCATGTCGTCCATCTCCATTGCATTATCATCCATGTACATGCCCGGGTAGGACTTCTCCTGGGTAACGCCGTAGTCACCGCGACGGCCGGGGAGGCTGTTCGCCAGAGCGTAGTCGTCCCAGCGTTGGAGTGGGATACTTCGAGGATCGAAGACCTCATCTTCAACCGCAACAACACGCTTGTCGCCCTTCTCTCCGATGACGACACGTGTGTTACCCCAGGTGAAATCATCCTGAAACCAGAACGAATACAAAGGCAGGATGAAATTGTAGATAGGGTATGCGAGAATGTAGATAAGCATCCATCCCACGTGCTGCCATTGACGCTTGAGGATGAAAATAATAGCCTGAAGACCATACACACCTGCCAAGATGATAACGGAGATAAGCGGGAACGGTCCGGTGTGACTGGCAATCCGGTAAATCAGATATCCCAGATAGACACAGGTCGCAGGAAGGATAATGGTTCCAAGCAGATCCACCATGACGACAAATCGCATGCTAAAGCAGCAGAAGCCACATAGATCTTTCAGGTAAGCCAATTCCACGAGATTGTGAACAGTAGAATTGATCCAGCGACGTCTCTGCGACAGAAGCACACTCCACGTTTCCGGAGCAGCTGTGCTTGCGTAGGCGTCGGGGACGAACTTGTAGGACATGGAGGGGAAATGCTTCGTCATCAATGTGGTCAAGTACCGATCCTCACCAAGGGACAGAAGGTTTTTCTTGTGAAGCGTATCAATATCGTTGTCCGCATATTCTTGAACCAGCTGATCGGATATGATGAGTGGACGGCCCTTGTCCGCAGTCCGCAAACGATACATGCAGAAACTAGAAATTGTTAGCAAAAAGCAATCGTTCGTATATGGAATTAGACTTACCATCCAGGAAGACAAGTGATGCTCCCGAAAAGTGACTCAAACGCCTTGGCCAAATGATGCGAGATATAGTACTCATAAACTTGAATCATCGTCCACCAACTCTGTTCTTGGTTTTGAAGACTGGTTTCACCACATATACCAGCAATCCTGGCATCGTTGGCACACGCGGCGACTAGACGATTGAGAGCGTCCTCCTTGACACTGGTATCCGCATCAACCATCAGACAGTATTCGTACAGCTCAGGGTCGACACCGATGATGTTGTTGATCTGGTGGAATATCTCCAGCTCCAGCGGCGACATCGGTGCGCGATAATGCACACGGTTGAGGAAATTGAGGAGAAGAACCTGCGAGTCTCGCTTACCCCGGTTTCCGGGCTTAGATTTGTTCTGCTCTGATTCTTTGCCGACTTTCACGACAACGATGTAGGGCACCACGTTGCCTTCATATTCGTAAAGGCCGGAGTACACCTTGCCGTAGTTGAGCTGCTCACTTCCCTGGCCAATAGACTTCAATGGCAACGCAGGAGGATCGATCTTGGGGTCTACTCCCAGAACATCAAGGACGATTTTGGGCGTTGGCCGGTCATTGCCCCCACCGACAATCATACCATCACAGATGACGAAAATGAGCTTCCTCTTGTTGTCGTACTCCAGAGCAGTCAATGAATCAAGGCCTTGGCGCAGCGAATCTTCACCTTCGGTATACGCTGGAACAAGGCAAATGACGAATTTGTCCTGCGGCGCAGGCCGACGCTTGGAGCCAAACTGGAGAGCAGAAAGAAACTTGACCAGGATAACCACACAAATGAGAACGGTGAATGACAAGAGGATCCAGTTGTTTACGGTACACCGGGGAGAATCTCGGAAATCCACTTTTCCTTTGTAAAACACGCTGTCGAGACACGATTGTGCTTTTTGGAATTGATCTGTATCCTGCCATTTATCCGTGACATCGGTGCCTGGGTAGTTCTTGAAAAGGTCCGTCACGGTGGTGGGCAGGAAATCGTACGTGTCGATGTTGTTCATCATCTTCAGCGTGTAGAAGTAGTCCGTTAGATCGTAGATATTCTTGTTCACGATGACCCAGGACCGCGAGCTTGATTTGGCCTGCTTTGACACCTCAGATCGTTTCCAAACCAGATCGCCCTTGTAGTATTCTTTGATCTTTGGCAAGAAAACGTCCTGGTACCATGTGATTTTGTTTAGCTTAGTGCTCTTGTCGGGTTGGTTTTGGGGACCGCAATCGTGCTTCGCTTGGGGATACAACACAGCACTCGTATCGTTGTTTTGAAGCGTGATCGACTCATCGTTGACAAAGTCCGAGCATACCTGGGTGAGGGGAGGGGGGAAGTACGCATCCAAGCCCTGCCCTGCGAACGGCTTCATGCTGGAGGAAGTCGTTTCGGTTGCTGTATCACTGTGTTGGATCTGCCAAAAGTCGCTGATGTCGTAAACCTTGCCGTGAATACTGACGAAGAAGTCGTCGTCGCCTTCGTGCCAGCTGACCTGCTTCTCATTCCACACCTTGTCTTTGTTGGGACAGAGCAGGTCTCCAAAAGCAATGATATAGAAACAGACAAGCCCATTGAAGAAAAGGATGAGAAACACGAGAACCACCTTTTCCCGCCAGGCCATTCGTACGTCAGGGCGCTTCATGCGGCCCACGTGTCGCAACACGAAGGATGGGATCCAGAAAGTCAATGCCCAGACGAACGCCGTCCACATACGTCGTGTAAAGGGAATTTCCTTCTTTTCAATGTGCTTGGGGTCACCATATTCGGGATCGAGCTCGCCGGTGTAATGGCCATAGCCTGCGTCGGATGGCTCCCACTTCCGGTCGTCGCCCTTTGTGCCCAAACCGTAATCACCACCCGTATTCATAGTATGGGGCACACTCGGGGCGATCGATTTCGCACCTCCCATGACACTGGGAGGTGCCAGAGTACTGTGTCTCTGTTGGTGCAAAAGATCGTCGCGGCTACCCAAAAGGCTCGTGGATTCTGCCATGTGGTTTGCCACGTTCAAGTTGGAAGCGAATGGATTGTCAAACATGCCAGTCCCGTAAGCGAAAGGATCAGATGCAGGTGATTCATCTGGCTTAAGGTCAAGCATCGTTTCAGCTTCCCACCAGGCGCCTTCTCTCATCCAAATTCGCTGGTATCCAACAAAGGCATCGCCATTACTCCAACCCCGTTCTAGGATCCAGTTTTCAATGCCGTCTCGGCCATCCAGACATCCCAGTCGGGCATATCGGCTAACAAACTCCTCCATATCAAAGTCGGCCGTAAAGTCGTGCTCCTTGAGGCGACGATTAGCCCACTCTGGAAGCTTCCAGTCGCGTAGCTGACGGGAAATAGCGCTTGCAGACCAGGCCGCCGCCGGCATCAACTGATTCAGTACACCAGGGGAGTCATCGGTGGGGTGAAGAGAGATATGATACCAAACTCGACTGCTACCTATAATCGTAGGAAGATCGAATCGGCCTCTTTTACCAACCGAGATACCCTCATTTTCGACCGGAAGAAGGACTTGTCGAAGAAAAGCGTCCGGTTCAAAGTCATCGATTACCTTCTCGAGTACGGTTTGCTTTCTGTCGAGCTCATGTTCCCGTTCACTCCAGGCGGCGCTGGTGGTTATTCCAAGGTCAGCTTCGACCTGTGCGACTGCATTGTTTATATCGTTGGTTACAGCGTGCCCGACAGGGGGGATCGGGACTCCATCTTCTTTCATTTCAGCGTTGATACCCAGAGTATCATCAAAGACGCCCCTCATTGCCACGGCTTTTCCTAGAGCTGGTCTGGGCATGTCCACAACGGTAATGCTCACGGTATCCTCTTCGGACCATTGGCCACTATAGTTCGAATGGCCCTCCAAGGTTGTTTGGACTTCACCTGCAATGGTCTCATTTGCCTTGCGAAGCACCCAATCAACCAACGCCTCGTAGATACCTGCAATCAGGACCTCCCGATCATCGGTGGCACACTTATGGAGGAGGACTTCTGGGTCCAGACCTAATAGGTCACCAACATCCTCACAGGTTTGTTCAAGATCTTCCTGGTCGACCAAGAAACCAGCGGCGTTACCCAGTTTCAGTAGGCCTGCGAGAACGGAGAGGAGGCCTCGTTGCGAGGCACCTTTGATGCCAATAGCTTTGAGGGCAGCTCTGAAGTCTTCCGCTGCGGCGTCATCGTCGGCAGTCGGCAGATATGAGGGCGGGGTGTAGGTCCCGGACTTGTTGAGCAATGCGTAGACAGAGGATTCTTTGAGACCCAAGAATTCCCGTTCGGCTGGAGTCGATGCTGAGGTCAAAATGTAGTAGAATACATCGAATGCACGGTAGCCAGTTTCTGCTGAGATGTCCAGTAGACCTTTGCGGATGTTGATGCCGGAAGTGGACAGTGCCCAGGAGAAGCCAACCACATCCCCTCGCAAACTCAGTGTATAGCAGGCAGCGAGAGCCGAATAGAGGGAGTATGAAGGATTAAAGGAAGTCACTGCAGATAAGAACGGACGAAGAGCTGCCAATGTTGTGAAGGCAGCCCCGGGGGTGGCAACCGGCAGCGTTGACAAGAAAGGCTCTAACACGGATGGTGCCGACTGATGGATTGAGCTGGATCAAATAAACGTCAGTATTGGTACGTAGTTATTCATCTGAGGTAAGGTTTGATCGAACCATAGAACAATACAACCATCCTCAGCTCTTCTTTTTGCATGTTCCCAGGCCCTCAATGCCAGCTCTTGATCGACTGTTGCAGCTTGGTTGGCGTTGAGCCATGTATTCACGACCACGCTGGTTCCTGCGTCCAATTGGTATGATTGTCCTGAGTTGTAGGACGAGTGTAGAGCATTAAGCAAAGTCGTCGTTGAGATTTGCATGTTTTGTTGTGGACGTGGAAAACCGGTGGGAAAACCAGCAGAAGTGCTGGAGTAGACGGAGAATCGGTTGGACATGGTGTAGCCGAAAAGAAGTTACACTGAAAACTCAGCGACTATCCCAAGCCACCACGCAGAGTACGGATTGCGGTCGTTTCAAGTATGTCGGAACATGAGGGTGTGATCACAACGGAGTTATGTTTCTGGAGACGATATTCGTGATGTAATTGATGAACTCGAAATAATAGATGAAACAAGGTATGGTCGAGATGAACAGGATGAAGCGAATGACTGGGAATGAGGATTCTGTTCTGGTTAAAGAGCGAAGCGTTGTGTACCCTGGACAGCAAATTAGCAGGGGACAGCTAGAGATAAGAGGGTTGACGGTACGAGTATACATACAACAACCGTTGCAGTCCAAATGACAACCACAGCTGGCCTCGACAAGCCTGAAGAAAAGGTCGATATGTGAGAGAAGAGAAGAAGAATGAAGAGAAAAAAGAAGCAAAGAGCTGGAGCTGGCTGTGATGCAGAGCGCAGCGGGTGGTTGTAATGGACCTGTCTGGGGTCAGTGAATGCGCAACGTTGATTGGCTAGTGGAAGAGCGCAGAAAAAGACCGAATAATACGGCTAGTAATGCACCGTATTACAAAACATGCACCCAAACAGGACTAGGGCACTGTCATATGCCAATGATGGCCGTCACTAGAGAACTGGCTGATACACTAGCAATATACTAGTCAATCCAAACAGCTTCATTGCATCCTTCTTTTTGACCGGTTCTTTTCTTCTCTTTCCTATTTGCGCGTGGGGTGTACTCGTGTAGGGCTATTCCATATAGTCAGCATTGGGCACCTAAGTGTATCCACTTATTGTGTTGTGGTGACAGGAAGAGTATTTGTACTTTGTATTTTGTATTGATGCTGAAGAAGACAGTACTCTGTACATACGGAGATCAATTTGATGTGCCTTCCCAAAAGGGAAATAGTGTGGATTGACTTTGAACCGAGGATCAAGCACGCCGAGCGGCCAATCAGAGCATAGTTAACGGTCAGTTCCGCCGGGCTGGAGACCCTATATTTGGCACATTGTCTTACTCTTGTCTCACCACCCATCATTTGCCATTTGCCATTTTTTGGTTCTCACCACAGCGCAAACTTTTACAAGAAATGTGTGAGAACTGACTCTGTTCTTACACTTCCCATATTCAAGTATATAAATATAGAATCCCTGTTCGATGACCTGCAGAGTCATGCAGGGTGGTGTGTAGTTTCAGATGCTGCCGTCTTTGTTTATTTTTATCCCTGATCTGGGTGTTTTCAGTAGATATCAACAGCTCTATCTTATATATTAATATCTTTGTATAAATTATAAATTGTATAATCATGCCACAGATAACACGATAATTATTTATATCCAACCACAAACCGTGCAGCACTGTCGTTGGGGTCTTGTCCGGGTAGATCGGACGATCCACTCCCTGCAAGTTTCAGGGTCCGGCGTATCTCCACCAGTACAAACAAGTACTCCGTATCAGTCAGTTCTTTTCGGGGATGTCCTACGAGTCACCTGCACAGAGCTGAAGGATTATCTCTTTGATTGAACTCTATACAACCTCTCGGAATGCGGTCTGCCCATACTATATACTCTACATAATAACTATCATTCTTCTATTGATGTTTGATGTAGAAAAATTCTACGAGATACACTAGATTACTAGTGTGATACCTGTATGACCGGCCGAGAATCTTCCATCTCCGCCCACGCCAACCCTAATTAAGCTTAGTGGTAAACAGACCAGCTGTCACAGCCTATCAGGTGTATTGAACTAGTAACAATTATCGTATCAAAATGTATCATCGGCGGGCGGTGAGGTTAACCCCGGACGATTAACGCCGATTGTGGTATTTGTAGAATTTCAGTACTAGTGATACTGACTACTGTCTCTGTCTTGTTCTTGTTCTCTTCATCTCTTTCATTCTTTCTCTTCTCCCCGACTCTAGTCTATCGTTGTCGATTCTCGCTTCGTTTCATCCCCAGACAGATACGCCGTGACCATCGCTTCAGCTCTAAACAACTCGGTTCACTCTCTTGCTCGACCTGTCACACCAGAGTTATCGCCTGCAATTGCTACAGCGCATCTTCCGTTGTTACCGTCGCTTCTTTTGACCTATCTCGTTGAGCAAACAATGTGGCTTGTCCTATGCTGATGTTGACCATTTCAATTCAACATTCCTGATTCTCGGAATATCCACCACTTTACTCAGATAGGGCCGCTATCCGGTTATCAGTGACAATCTCGCATGCCCGGGGGAGGGACACTGGACAATATGGCTTCAGGACATATCCCATCTCACGCCCAATCATCGCTACCATCGTTGCCAGCCCATCTACAATCAGATACGCATTTGACTGCGCATCTCGCAAGCCGGTATGGTTGTCCTCGACCCGAACAAAGAGTGACATCTCAATCGCGTACTAACGATCCAAACTGTCTACAGATTCCATGTCGGTTTACCAACGGCTCGTCTCTCTTCCCAAGCTTTAATATGTCTCAATACATACACAACTCCGACCAAAGGTCCAGATGGCGGCAAAGAGGGAAGTTCGATGGCAGAGGCCGAGGACCTGGCCAAACGGGCATTCACTAGATTGGCTACCCGTGGTGAAAACCAGGCCATTGTGTTTCTGTAAGTGGCTGACTGGTGGGAAACCGCATTGCCAAACAACACTAACGGTTTTGTGACATCCTCGTAGTGGAGAGAATGGATCTGGAAAAACGACTATTCGCTCGCATATCCTATCATCGTTTCTTTCCTACTCCTCCACACCTCTCTCGTCGAAGCTCTCCTACGCTACCTTTGTTTTTGACGCTTTAACAACCACAAAATCTTTGACCACTCAGACAGCTTCGAAAGCGGGACTATTCTTGGAACTGCAGTACGATGCCTCTTCCTCGGTTAATCCGACGCTGATTGGCGGCAAGATCATCGATCACAGACTCGAACGCAACCGGATTGCTTCTGTACCGACCGGAGAGCGGAGCTTCCATTCCCTCTATTATCTTCTGGCAGGAACAAGTGCTCAGGAAAAGGCTCACTTGGGTTTCGATAATCCTATCCATATCTCTACCAACAATGGAATGCTCGGTTCGAGCACAGTGAACCATAAACGATGGAGATATCTGGGTCATCCCACACAGTTAAAGGTCGGCATCAACGACGCTGATGCGTTCTATCATTTCAAAACAGCGCTTCGGAAGTTGGAATTCCCTCGAAGTGAGATTGCCGAAATCTGCCAGATTCTTGCAACTGTGCTACACATTGGACAGCTGGAGTTTGTTAGCGGCCAGTCTACTGCTACTTCTGCAGAAGAAAGTGGAGGATACGCGCTCGAAGGTGGTGAGACAGTCACCTCTGTCAAGAATAAGGATGTCCTTTCCATTGTGGCCGCCTTCCTCGGTCTGGGAGTCGACGACCTCGAAGCCAGTCTGGGGTACCGAACAAAGACCATCAGTCGAGAGAGGGTGACGGTGATGCTGGATCCCAGAGGAGCACGACGGAATGCGGACGAGCTTGCTCGAACAATCTACACTCTCTTAGTGACTTATGTGATTGAGACTATTAACCAGAGAATTTGCGCGGCCGATGACAGTGTTGCCAACACCGTGTCTGTCGTCGATTTTCCAGGTTTCTCTCAGGCCTCTGCAACTGGATCCACCTTGGACCAGCTCCTGAACAATGCAGCGACCGAATCGCTTTACAATTTCTGCCTCCAGTCCTTCTTCGACAGAAAGGCCGATATTCTGGAACGTGAAGAAGTCTCCGTGCCAGCCATCAGCTATTTCGACAACTCCGATGCGGTGCGCGGGTTGTTGAAGAATGGCAACGGCCTGTTGAGTATCCTTGATGACCAGACCAAGCGCGGTCGAACCGACGCACAGCTCGCTGAAACTCTGAAGAAGCGTTTTGAAAACAAGAATCCTGCCATCATGGTCGGAACACCAGGAACCGGACCTGGTACTCGTCATGTCTCACCAGAAGCGCGTTCGGCATTCACAGTACGACATTTCGCTGGTGAAATCGATTACTCTGTGAACGGTCTGGTTGAGGAAAATGGTGAAGCCATTTCTGGTGATTTGATGAATCTTGTGAAGTCCACAAGGAGTGATTTCGTACGGGATCTTTTTGGACAAGAAACCCTGCAGACGGTCACCCATCCGAGAGAGAAGACGGCCATTATGCAGGCGCAGGTCAGCGCGAAACCGTTACGAATGCCCAGTGTCGCAAGACGAAAGGCCGGTCCGCCTGTTGCGCATCCATTCGATGCGGATGATGCAGACGATCATGAGAGCCCTGATGGCAGCTCAACAGGGAACGCTTCTGCAAGACGGAAGACCGGTCTGATGACAAACAGTCCTCAAGGCGCAGCTGGTCAGTTCCTATCTTCGCTTGAGATAGTTAGGAAGAGCTTGAGCACACCCGATCTCAACCCTTATTTTATCTTTTGTTTGAAGCCCAATGATCGTCGCATTGCGAATCAGTTTGACAGCAAATGTGTCCGAGCACAGGTGCAAACTTTTGGCATTGCGGAAATCAGTCAACGGCTTCGCAATGCTGATTTCAGTGTGTTCCTCCCCTTTGCTGAGTTCCTCGGACTGGCGGAGATTGGTAATGCCGTTGTTGGAAGCGATAGAGAAAAGTGTGAAATCGTGTTGGATGAGAAGCGGTGGGCAGGAAACGAAGCCAGAGTTGGTAGTACCGGTGTCTTCCTGAGTGAACGATGCTGGGCCGACCTCGCAAAGGTAGGCGAGCGTGTGGTCCCTGTCTATCATGGCAGGGGCTCTGAAGACGTTGGCGAGGGCTTTCTGCATCCGCGAACTGCAACGTATATGGATTCCAAGGTCCGGCTCCTCGATTCGCCCGATCGGTCACCCTATGGCGATGACAACAAGCAAGGATACTTTGGCGCCCGTGACGTGGATGGGCGCTCTGATGCCGGGGGTTCTGCCTTCAACTCCGGTGACATGTTCCACAATCTCGAAACGAGAGAGCAGATGATGGAGAAAGGCAATGAAAAGAAAATGGAAGAAGTGGACGATGTGCCTCTTTCCGGTAGTCGCAAACGCTGGTTGGCATTGGTGTATCTGCTTACTTTCTACATTCCTGATGTTGCTATCAAGTGGCTCGGGCGGATGAAGCGCAAAGATATCCGACTAGCTTGGCGAGAGAAGCTCGCGATCAACCTGATTATCTGGTTCAGTTGCGCATGTGCCATCTTCTTCATCGTCGCTTTTCCTGGTCTAGTCTGTCCCACGCAGCATGTCTACTCCGCGGGAGAGTTGAGTACACATAATGGCAAGGATGGTCAAAATTCTTTTATGTCCATTCGGGGCGTGGTCTTCGATCTGGGTGCTTTCATGCCATCTCATTACCCCGACATTGTCCCGCAGTCTTCGCTAAAGAAGTATGCCGGTGTGGATGCCACTAATCTCTTCCCCATTCAAGTTTCGGCTCTCTGCCAAGGCAAGGATGGTCATGTTGATCCCACAGTGCTATTGGACTACAAATCCACGAACGTTTCTGGGACCGCAACAGCAACTAGCGACACAGACGCCAACTCCAAATATCATGATTTCCGCTATTACACCAACGACTACCGTCCTGACTGGTTCTACGAACAGATGATCATGCTCCGGGCGAATTACAAGAAAGGCTTCATCGGCTACACACCAGAGTATTTGACGAAACTGGGGGATAAATCGCAATCAATTGCGAGCATCGACGGGAAGGTCTATGACATGACCACCTACCTTGCTGGAGGTCGAAGAACGCAAGCTCCAGAAGGAAAGGAGGTTCCGCAGAATGTCGATACTGATTTTATGGACTCCCTGTTGGTAGACCTTTTCCGACAGAAATCTGGTCAGGACATCACCAAGTACTGGCAGAACCTTGCCATTGATCAGGGAATGCGTGATCGTATGCAATTGTGCCTTGACAATCTGTTCTTTGTCGGCCATGTCGATACTCGAAACTCGCCACGCTGCCAATTTGCGCGTTACTTCATTCTGTCTATCTCCATTATCATTTGCGCAATTCTCGTGTTCAAGTTTGTGGCCGCAATGCAGTTTGGAAAAAAGACAGTCCCCGAGAATATCGACAAGTTCATCATCTGTCAAGTCCCGGCCTATACAGAAGACGAGGAGTCTCTTCGTCGTGCTATTGACTCCATGGCACGTATGCGGTACGATGACAAGCGCAAACTCCTGCTGGTCATTTGCGACGGTATGATTATCGGACAAGGAAATGACCGCCCCACGCCTCGGATTGTTTTGGACATTATGGGTGTTCCAGAAACTGTGGATCCGGAGCCTCTCAGCTTTGACAGTCTGGGAGAAGGCATGAAACAGCATAACATGGGCAAGATTTATTCCGGTCTATATGAGGTGCAAGGTCACATCGTTCCCTTCCTGGTTGTAGTCAAGGTTGGAAAGCCGTCAGAAGTTTCGCGACCCGGTAACAGAGGCAAGCGTGATTCCCAGATGGTTCTCATGCGGTTCTTGAACCGTATCCACTACAACTTGCCCATGAGCCCTATGGAACTTGAAATGTATCACCAAATACGCAACATCATCGGTGTCAATCCTACGTTCTACGAGTTCATCTTGCAAGTCGATGCAGATACAGTAGTTGCTCATGATGCCGGAACACGAATGGTTGCTTCTTTCCTGGCGGACACTCGCCTACTCGCTGTCTGTGGAGAGACAGGCCTGACGAATGCAAAGACGTCTGCGGTGACTATGATCCAGGTCTACGAATATTTCATTTCGCACAATATGATCAAGGCCTTCGAGAGTCTTTTCGGATCAGTGACCTGCTTACCGGGATGTTTCACTATGTTCCGTATCCGGTCTGCGGAGTCTGGCAAGCCACTTTTCGTGAGCAAAGAAGTCGTGGAAGCATACGCGCAGATTCGAGTTGATACCCTGCACATGAAGAATCTGCTGCACCTGGGTGAAGACCGTTATTTGACGACCCTGCTCTTGAAGCATCATGACAAGTTCAAGACCAAGTTCCTGTTCGCGGCAAAGGCTTGGACCATCGCCCCAGAGAGCTTTGCTGTTTTCTTATCCCAGCGTCGACGATGGATCAACTCTACAGTGCATAACCTGATTGAACTGATTCCGCTTCAGCAACTGTGTGGTTTCTGCTGCTTTAGTATGAGATTCATTGTCTTCGTCGACCTTCTCAGTACCATCATCCAGCCGGTGACAGTCGCGTACATCATTTACCTCATCGTCTGGCTCGTGAGAGACACATCCGTCATCCCATACACATCCTTCATCCTCCTCGCAGCCATCTATGGTCTCCAAGCCCTCATCTTCATCTTCCGCCGCAAGTGGGAAATGATAGGTTGGATGATCATCTACATCATCGCCATTCCCGTCTTCTCCCTCGCCCTCCCCCTCTACTCCTTTTGGCACATGGACGACTTCTCCTGGGGAAACACCCGTGTCATCACAGGAGAAAGCGGCCGGCAAGTCGTCATCTCCAACGAAGGCAAATTCGACCCCGACACCATCCCCAAGAAGAAATGGGAAGAATACCAAGCCGAACTCTGGGAAGCGCAGACCTCCCGCGATGACCGCTCCGAAGTCTCTGGCATCTCATACGGCACGAAGTCCTACCACCCGGCACAATCAGAATACGGATTCGGAGGGTTCCCTGGCTCAAGGCCTATGTCGCAACTTGACCTGTCGCACCAGTATGGAGCTAGGAGTATCTCGCGTCCGCCGTCGGAGATGCTCAGTCGGCATATGGACATGGAGTTGGAAGATTTGTCGAATTTGCCAAGCGACGATACGCTGCTTGCGGAGATTCGGGAGATTCTGAGAGCTGCGGATTTGATGTCTGTTACGAAGAAGAGTGTTAAGGTAGAGCTTGAGAGGCGGTTCGGGGTGAACTTGGATATCAAGAGGTCCTATATCAATTCTGGTAAATCATCCCATTTCACTTCCTGGTTATGGCAACATGCTAACTTGTTTTGCAGCTACCGAAGCCGTTCTGTCGGGTGCCCTTTGATGGTTTACAGTCATCTAATTCATTCTTGAATCTGCGATGATGTCTGCGCATTTCCTCATCTGTTTAATCCTCTTTAGATCTCTTTCGTTCATGGCGTTCTGTTGTTGTTACAGGCCTGCAGTTGTACATTATTCCTGTGTTTACAGCATAGCATGTTTCTTTCATGATCATGGTGGATGGTGTTGGATTTGCAGTTCTGAAGTTTGGACAGTACATACAGTCTTAGGGCCTACTAATATTTAACTACAATCATTCTGTACACGCTTCGGCATCATGAGCCTTGGAATCGCAATCATTTTGAATGAAACAAATGAGGGTATAAGATACGAAATATAAACAGTCCAGGACTACAAACCACCCAATATATCACAAACCATGTACAACCCAGACAACACATCCCCGGCAACAAAAAAACTAAGAAAACGGCGCAATCGCCGGCTCAACCAACCGACTAATCGGCGACTTCTTCTCATCCCTCTGCCCCTGCTGCTGATGCTGATGCTGCATCCCCAGTATCCTCCACGCCTGCCCCATCATCCCAAACTCCCCCGCAGCCATCGAATCCTTCCTAGACATATGATGTTTCCTAGCCTGTTCGCGAAGCAGACGTTCCTTTTTCGCGAGAACGAGACGGTCCTGCTCTTTTTCGTGGGAGACGATGTCGTCGCGCCATTCGGCCCAGCGCTCGTAGTTTTCGCGCTGTTGGAGGACTTGGTAGCGCAGTTTGGTCTTGGAGGGGCGCCATGCCGTACGACTTTCGCCTTCAGCGCGATGGGCCATGGATGATTTGAGATCGCTGACGTGCGAGTCCTTGGCGAGTTTGAGCAGGTGAGCGAAAGCATCTCTGCTTTCTGCGGCGGTTTGCTGGGTCTTTTCGCGCTGGGCGCTGACGTTGTCGTTTGCGGATTGGGTAAGGGGCACGTCGAGCCACGAGTGCATGTCGGCGGCGCGCTGGATGGAGAAGGGATCGAGCATGTTTGCGCGGCGGTTTTCCTCGCGCAGGAAGCGCACTGCTGCTTGGAGGCTTTGGACTTCGGCGCGAAGGGCTTCGTTCTCGTGGATTGTGGCCAGGGAGGCGCCGCTGCCGTCGACGACGACGCCGTCGGCTGTTGTTGTAACGCCTGTTGTTCCGGAGGCGTGTTTGACTCTTTCGAGGCGGGATTTGAGCTCGTCGCGCTCTGCTTCTGTGGCTTCGAGGTCTTTGCGCTGTTTTTCGGCCGTGTCGGTGAGGTCTGTGTGTTGGGCTTGAAGTTGTTCAATCTTGGCTTCGAGTTCTTTGACCATTGAGGCTTTTTTGCTTGCTTCGCGCATTCGGGACTCAACGAGTTCGACTTTGATGGCTTGTTCCTCGATGGTTTTGTCTTTGACGCCCAGGGCTGTTGAGGCTTCTTGGATTTCGCTCTTTAGTTGGCGGATTTTATCGTCTGCATCTGGGGAGATGGCTTTGTTAAATTTGAGCTCTTCAGATCTTGCGATCCATGGTGCGGGACGCTTCTCGAATTCGGTTGTGAGGGATAGGTTGGATGAGATTGAGTCGAGCTCTTCCAGGGATTCAGTAATGCTGCGCAGCTTGGTGCTAATCAAAGACATGGCATCATTGTTCTCGCTCTTCGGTTCTGAGACTTGGTCAAAGGATAACGAAGTTTGAGACAGGCTGTCTAGGGTTTCTGTCAGGCTGAGTGGCTCCGTGCGCGCTTCGTCGTGGATAAGTGCCAGGATATTCTCTCCTAGTTGTCGGGAGAGCGACGAAAGGTCTTTGCCAGAATCCTCGACCTTCTTAAAGGGCTCCGATGCATCACTAGGAAGAGCAAGCGACCTTGCTTGCAAGTCGGAGACTGCACGGTAGATTTTACCCATGGCCACCTTGGATCCGCGGACCTGAGATGAAAGTCCATCCATCTTATTGAAAAGCAGAGGGATCTCCTCGTTGCCTCCCTCCGGAACGGAAATCTTAGACTGCAGCACAGATCGAAGGCGTAAGAGACATGATGCAGAGTGGTCGAGGTATGATTGAGTCAAATGGGCACGCATGGACAGTTCACCAGCAGACGCTTCCAGCGACGTTGGGAGCATGGTTTCTGCCAGATGCGCCAAAAGAGCAATGGATCTTTGCAGCTCCACTGCGCATTTGCTCATATTGATCTCGTTCTTCTTCAGACTCTCAAGCCAGAAGTTCAAGGTGCGTTCCACTGGCTCCATCTCAAACAACGCCCCCTTGATACCACTGAAGCTCTCAGCGGAGGAGCTCTCGATGTAGCTTGTGAAGCGGTCGCAGAGAGAAGATATCCAGAGAAGCTTTTCTAGTACATCGTGCGCCGTGAAGAAGTCTTCGTGGGACGGAGATGTTGACGACTGGTCGGCATTCCTATCGCGAATGGTGCTGCTTACCAACGATGCCTTGAAGCTAACACGCTTGAAGCGCAGAAGCGCCATGACAGAGTTCCGCTCTCCATCGTAGTATTCAGGAAGATATAACTTCACAATAGACAGGTGTAGGGCGGCTTCCTCGGCTTCCATTCGACCAGTTTCGACGTCAATCGTTTTCGTCTGGGCCTTGGATGCTGATGCCTGGAGCTTCATGTTGAGATCAATCATGGCGCGAGACCGAGATGTAAGGTCGGTAGCTTCAGCCTCCGTGATCTGCTGAGAGGCTCGCATATCTTCGAGATCGCCTTGTAGGGTCGAAACCAGCTCCCGGAACCTGACCAGAGTGTACTCCAGGTCCTCGATCACTTCATCTTGCTGTGTGATCTTGCGGTATTGTTCATTGAACAAACCATCTTTGAACTCGATCTCTTCCTGGAGCTGCTTTTCCGTTTCAACATGGTTGTACTCGAGCTCATCGTTGATTTCCTTCAAAGCTTCGAGATCTTCGATAGCCGCATGTAGTTCGTTGATTTCCTCTTGGTAGCGCATGTTCTTGTCCGCAAGCTCTTCGATCATCTCTTCAGCACCGAGAGCGGTCTCCAGTTGCTGTTTGAGGTCCTCGAAATTGTTCTCAGAAGCCAACAACCTCTCCTTCGTAGTTTCATATTGAGACTTGATCGCGGCGTAGTCTTCCAAATCCTCCTCCATTTCTTTGATGTGGTCCTTCAGGTCCATCTCCTGTTGCTGGGTCACATCACGCAGGCGTATCAAGGCTTCACGGAGACGTTCATTGGTCTTCACCATTTGCAGCCAGCCTTGAGTAGACTTTTCCTCGGGGCTCATGCCCTGGTCGAATTCTTCGTTCTCGTCTCTTAGGACATCAACCTCCAATTGAAGCTCTTCGAGTTTGCCCCTCAGCACATCGCATTCATGCTTGTACGCATCGGCCGTTTCTTCCGCCATTTCGCGGTCGAGCGTAGCCATTTCAACGACACTATCATGCTCTCCCTGGATTTGCTCAATCTCCTCCAGTCTCGCTTGCGACTCTTTCAGTTGCTTTCGCAATTCACCCAGCTCAACCTGTTGCGGTTGGTACTTGGCCTGCAATTTCTGGATGATTCCCTCGAACTTGTCGCGCTCCGATTGTAATTGTTCGAGCATCTTGAGCTTCTCTCGATCGTCGCCTCGCTTCTTTTCCATTACTTTCAACTTTGTTCTCAATTCATCCAGTTCCCTCGAAACCGTACTATTTTGCGGCGGCTTCTGTGTCGATGATTGTGATAACCGTGGTCGAGCAGTAGCAATTGACATCCGCGACGAGCCCGGAGGCGCTCTTGGTGCGGGACTCCCATCATCCGGGTCATCTCCTTCAACTCCAGCAGAGTCGGTCACTACATCCGATTGTCCACTTTCCGTCTCCGCAGCTGAGGAATTATTGGAGGCAAGATGGCGCAGGGAGGGGCGCTTGGACAGCGCCGCACCTGTCGAACCCAGACTTTGTCTCGCCCTGTGCGTTGGACCCGATATCGATGGTCGCGGTGTACGTGAGGCAGCGGAGGGAGCCGGCGGAGGACCCATAGAGGCCTTGGTAGTACTTGATGGCCGGGATCTAGTCGTCGGTGGGCGTGAGGTCTCGTCGATTGACAGGTTACGAGAGGACGGTTGCTTCGTGGGCGATTTTAGCGGAGACTGCACGAGGTAATCCGTCAGCGGTTGGAAATGCAATGTGTTTCAAACAGTCCAATTTATTTCAACGTACCCTCAAGCCTGGCCGCTGGGGAGCGGCTTTCACAGCAGAAGAGGGATTGGCCGTGCTAACGCTGTGTCTCTTCGCATTTACAGAGGGCAAAGCACTTACGCCTGGCTTCTTGATTCCCGCTCCAGTTTGCGCCCTTCCCCTGCTCGTCGGCGGTGCATTACCGGTGTTCCCCTTAGGAGCGGGTTTGGCTGGACGCCCAACGAGCGTCAAAGTAACAGAAGAACGGACGAACACTCCGTAGTCTTGCTCGCAGTCGAAATATCGCTCTCCCCTGACCGATCCATCGTTCTTCCCCGCCGGTTCTTCCAATTCGAGACCAATCCAGTCCCCTGCGGCGAATCTGGTGTTACCAACATACCGAACAGTAGCCCTCTTGCCGTCTGGCAGTAGGACCACGGAACCGGGAGATAGGTCACCCATTATGAAGCATCCAGAAAGAAGTTATCTTCCTGGAGCAGACATAGAAAACCTCAATTCTGGCGGTTGAGGTGACGAAAGAGATGTTGATGTTGTGTTGTTGATCCGGAGGTTAGTTTCCACTAAGGACGCGGTACGTTGTCGGTGCCTCAGTGCCTGAGGCGTAACTGTACCCCAGCAGAACGGCTGCAATGAGATACCCAGCTCCCATGATTAATGAATTTAATTATCCCATAGGTGACTACCTCGTATACTTCCTCAACATTGGGCGCTTTTGTGCTTCTCCCATATTAACTGAACACTTTGGATACGGCAACAAGCGAACCAGAATGTAGAACTTCTGTCTCTTATCACCAACAGGAAAAGAGATGCATAGTAGAAAAGGGTGAGGATATCAAAAAACAAGTGACAAGTAACGTTCATACAGTCGTATCGTATATTCTATTTGACAAACAATCTACAATGTGCATTCTATAAGCAGAGACTACCCGGTTTGGGTGCCATTAGTCTGCTTGAATAGATAAGGGAAGTGAACGCGCAGATGGTCGAGATTATGCACGATATATTTGCATGCCGGAATCCGTGGTATCGGCAGGCCAGGCTCAACCAAATGAACGGTATTCCAACCGCGAGCCTCGGCATGTTTGCAGTTCAAGTGGGAGTCATCTATCGCATGTCAGCCCCCGTCTATATAGAAAGAGGTATTCGCAGAGAACGTACCGACAAAGTAGCACTGCGCCGAGCTCGGAACGCCCGCCTCGATCTCTGCCTTCTCGTACATATCCTGGCTTGGTTTGCAAATCAATGGCATTTTGCTGTAATCACAGTATGTCACTCCTTCGAAAAGATCATCCACTTGTAGCAATTTGACTACCCGTTTGGCATGGTTGACGTATGCGTTGGTGAGAAGCCAGAGCCTCACTTTGCTCCGGTCGATATCCTCGAGCATCTTTCGCAGCTGCGGAGCTGGTTTGAGAATATCGTCCAACGGTAGGGCATCATCAACTTCGCGGTTGAACTCGAGGGGATCAATCTTGTGATGGCGCGTGAGACCTTCAATCGCGAGACCGTATTCTGTGTAGTATTTCCGGTGAAGCATTTGGGCGTCTTGTGGTTCGAGGGACAGGTGCTTGACGAAGAACTTGTCTGTAAAGGCAATCCGTTAGAAATCAAACCCGTCCAGGCATGAGCGCATTGTATACTGACTGATAAGTTTCTCCATCTCCTCGTGGATGTTGCATGCTGTGCGCGATTCGGTCAGTCGTCGTATTGTCTTGCTCGGTGGCAGAGTCTCGGACCTTTGGAATAGAGCTGCGTCGCAAAGACCCAAGTTAGTACAAGCCAGCTTCTATAGCACCATTTCCCCTGAATCCTTACACAATTATCGATGTCGAAAAAGAACACTGGCCGTAAGTCAACCGCACCCGCGGGACAGTTTGACGATGCCATCATCCTCCGATTAAGACCAACGTATGGAGCGCGGCGGAAAGAGGCGAGGAAACCAGAGAAGACTTGCGGTGCAGGACGAAGGCAAGAAGCGCGATACATACAAAATAATACCAGAAAAGGGGTCAGTTGCAGACAATACAAAATAACATCATTCCCCTCCAAACCATTGAACCGGCCTACCTTGTCCGCGGGTATGCGCCGCGGCGTTTGATTGGCGCGTCCGCGTTCTTTTCCGCAGCGGGTTTAGCGTCACTTCCGGAGATTTCCTGGAGACAGAACGAGGAGAGGGAGAGCTTCCCATTCACTCGACACTAACACACGCACTATCTTTGCAACTACCGTCTCCGATCAGTCATCCCTTCCTTCTCTGTCAACTCAGAGATTGGAACCAGTGGACTGGAAGTGAATTGACTCTTGACTCGCTGTGGCAGCAGAGATTGGTTTCTTCCCGGAGCGGACTTCCTACGGGCAGCACTCCTTCACTCGTCCAGATCATTCCCTAGTGGAAAAAGTATATCCTTCACTATGGCAGCTCATGGAGTGACACAGCTTCCAGCCAGTACTACTGGCTTGCCTATAGGCGAGGAAGTGCAGGAATATGAGAAGATTCTGAGAATTAGTGACGAGATCTTTTCTGGAACTCACCCCAAGCTCAAGGTCCCCCAGCAATTTGTGCGCAAAACTACGTCTCGAAACCCTTCCTATCCTTCTAGCACACAGGCTCAGGTAGTGAAGGCAGATGGACTGGGTGGTTCTCCTACGGAGAGATCATCCCAGGCTACTCCGTCAGCAGCTCCAGTTCCTACGACTGTTGACGGTCCCTCTGATGTGATCGCCACGACCCCTTCGAAGAGCCGTACCGTCCCAAAATCTACCTCAGAGATTGATCCGATATTTTTGACCAAATCAGACGATTTAGTCAGAGCAGAATTACAGTTGCAGAGACAAAGGGTGGAAAGAGTATTGAGGGACCAGTTGGAGCAGAAGAGGCTAGAGTCGAGACAGAAAGCGGCGATGCAGGACGCAAAGCCCGACTTTGATGTCTCTGGTGTGCTGAACCAAGCCCTTGAGCTGGTCAAGCCTGCTTCTGTAAATGATATCTCTGCAAGCAATGTCGCTGGGGCACCCAGTGATTCGTTTGACGAGAATTCTTTCTACTCCAGTAGAGCTCCTGACTCTCCGCAGCAAGGCGAGCCGCCTTCGGCAGCAGCAACAGCACCTCACACCGGGAACATTCCTACCAAGATCCCAGTAGAAAACTATTCAGATGAGTTGCAACGGCTTGAAGCCCTCAACCGCACTGGATTGGATCAGGAAATGCGAGATGCTTACCCCGTGGCAGACCAGCGCGATCCTTACCGTCACAGACAACCCCATGACGCTCCGATAGAGCTGACAGGCAATAAATACCACCAAGTTCCGCAGCCAGATGATGCGATGGAAGAGCCGGATTACTCGCCTCCAGCTCCAGGTGTACCACCTATGGACAGGGCAGAAGTTCGTGAGTATCAACCGGAATATATTACCCACGACGCAAGGCGACGGGCAGACAATCGAGCAGGCGCAGGAGGGTATTACAATCCGATATCCCCAAGAGGTGATGTGAGAATCGTGAGAAACCATATAACCTCGCCTGCCGCTCCTCAGCCATCTAGGGTGTCTCCGCTAGCCGTGGCCAAGGTTCCCTCCGCCCCTCAGGCTAAGGACATGCGAACGAGATATGGGGCGGAACGAGTTCACCCTGCACAGGATCTAGATCGTGCCAGTCCCGATGCCCCGGCTGCTCAGCATCCAATACCGAGGAAGCGTAGGAGATTGCAAGAGGACAAAGGTCGAGCCCGTCAGGTTTCGTACAATAAAAAGCCTGCTGCTGTTGATTCTTCTGATCCATATATTAAAGAGGAGCCAGTGTCACCGCCACCTTTCGCAGACGCGCTGCCAGCTTACCAAGGCCGACCTGCCCAGCCAGTGTACATCGACATCGCATCCCCGCGTTATACTCCGGTTATTGAACGAAGGGAGCCGCCGATCCGCGAGCCTGTCTACGAGGCCGATCCGTACCATGAAGCTCCTGTGTCACGGGCGGCCTCTCGGCTCAGCAGCCGCCGGCCCATGCGCGATGAGCCTGATTTGCGACGGGTCGCTAGCTTACAGAATGCGCGGCAACCGGAATATGCGCGTGAATATGTCGAGCAACAACCCAGTCCCCGTGCAGTGAGGGCAGCATCTTATGCGGTTGTGGAACGGCCTCCGCCGGAGAGGGCGACCAGGTACTACGATGAGCCGGTGCCAGCGTACTCGAGACGGTTTGTCCCAGCCGAGGGGTCACCATCATCTCCACAATTCCGGGAGGCATACTATGAGGAGCCAGTGCCGGCTCGGATCATGGCGCCGCCGCGACGTATTGTGGTTGACGAGCATGGAAACCAATACTACGAAGCGGCACCTGCCGTACAGTATGTTTCTTCAGCAGGCCGGATCCCCAGGAACGACGTCTACGATGACGATGCGCCAGTCCGTCAAGCCAGTGTGCGTCAAGCCAGTATGCGGGCTACATCAATCATTGAAGATCCATATGGCGGCCGGAAGTACGTGCAGGAGATGCCACCACCTCCGAGCACGTATCGGCGGGTAACAGACTACGCGCGGCCTGCTCCGGCGGAACGGCGGTCGTATGCGACACCTCTTGAGGGCGAGCCATTCCCGCGCAGTAGCAGCGTTCAAGTGGGCGAGTATGCTCGGCGTCCGGCATACGTGGAAGATCCAGGTCTCCCACGCGAACGTTTGATGCGCGTGCCGAGCGTTCGACCTCAAACGGCGCGATACGACGAGCCACGGGAGGTGATCTCCCGTGTGGCAAGTGTGCGCCCGGGAAGCGTGTACATGGATGAGGACCCGCAGCGACCGCAGGAATATGTTGAACGACCTGTATATGTCTCTCGGCCTCCGCCTATGCGGGAGGACCAGGCATGCTACGAAGGAGAACCGGAGCGGGTGATGATGGATGGGGGAAGAAATGTGGTGCAGCGGGCACCACCGCGATATTGAGATGGGGCATTTGGATCTGTACATAAGCAGCATTGGGGATGAACATAGTTTCATTGATTTCCTTTTTTTAATTGCGGTTATATATTGACATATGACAATCTGCGCAATGATATATGAACCATTATACCCCTGGTATAGACATCTTGCGTCAGAAATACCACTACGTATAATATTGAAACGGTGTATTGACACGGATAGTTCCAAAACATAATGGGTTTTCATCCTTTGCAAGGTCACCTGGGTGTCGCCTCATGTTTGCATCGTGAGATATATCTTGAAACATTGAGAGATTACTCGGGGGCTGTTGACGAGTACTCGTTCTATATCTGCCTAGCGTGCGATGATCCAACCCTGGCGCATTAACCAGTGTATAGGACACAGTACAGGCACTACAGGCTCTACAGGCAATGGAGTAGTTGTTGGAAGATGCAAACTTTGATGGCTTTTCAACCGGACATTTACTTTTGTATTGGAGGAGGCGGTGGAGAGGGCGGAGGTTTGTTGGATATCGATTCCGATGGACTTGTTGAGTTGAGAGTGAGAATGGTGACTATATCTTTAGTAGCATCACTCATTGAAGGTTTCTACGCATCACTTTGTAATGTACTTCTCTGAATTGACAATGCTCTGCATGGTAGAAAACAGACTGCTTCTACCAACACAGACCCAGACAGACAACCAATCGATTGGCGGAATAACTCATCGCTCGGTCTCGATCAGCCTGCACTTGTCCTGTGAGCACCATCGGTACTTTTGTCGGGAGAATCAGCGCAGGGCAGTGGCAAGTCACAACCAGACAGCGCATACATGCAGCGGAAGCGGAAGTGCAAGCGCAAGGCCCCAGGCAGGGCTATGTATGTAGGGGTGATATGTCACAGTACAAGGCCAGTAATACTCTGGGATACGGAGTACTTTGGTATTGAGTCGATCCGTGGGTTTGAATGGATGGATGTCGTGACGTTGTGATTGCTGCGGAGAGCGGGATGTTATTGGCTTGTCTATGTGTATTCAGCGTGTACAGTACTTGTACAGAGTAGGTTGAGTGGCACTGCCATTCAGTACGACGATGTGAGGTCTCGATCGCGAGTTAGTACACTACTTTTACAAGTACAACACTGTCTTCTGAGAATACAAGTACAGTGAATTGAGTTGAGGTCGGACTTAAAGTCCTAACTTTAATAGCGGCAAGCCACGCTCCCCTTTTACAGTCTGGAAGAATGCAGTGATACGCTGTGACGCAAACCGGAATGGATGGAAACGGCCTGGCTTGAATCATCCTGAATTCATATTGGTTATTCCGGTATGCAATACTGTACGGAGTACTTGTACTCTAGGTGTACTAGAGTACTGTCTGTAAAGAACTCGCTTAACTCTCGTTTGGGAATAGCGTCATTCCGACCGGATTCAGGATGATTTCATGGATTCAGAGAATACAGAGCAGTACAGAAGAGTAGAGCAGAGATACTACTACTAGTACTGTGGACGGAGTAGGTTGTGGGAGACCGGGTCCGGAGTAGAATGAACTGTCTCGTTCCGAATGACCGCCGGCATCATCATCATCATCATCACCATCATTGTAGGCTCATCGTACTAGATCACAATAGCAGTGAATTAATAGAGAATTGTAGAGTAGACACATAGTAGTAGTAGTAGTAGTAGTAGTAGAGAATAATAATGATAATAACTACATACCGAATGGTGGTGGTGGTGTATCGTTATCGAGATTGTACGCGGTCTCTCCCGTCCACTTTCTTCTCGCTTTCCTGTTTTCTCTCTTTTCTTTCTCTCTCTCTCTCTCTCTCTCTCTTCATAATTCCCATCGATTCATTTCTGCAACTCAAATTCATCTGATTTTTCACCTTTTCATTTCTGTTCTTCTTTTTTATTCATTTTTTCCTTTCTTCTTTATCTTGACCTGTGACATTCCGCGGAATCCCCCCCC